ACAATGTATGTAGAGATGAACCTCTAGAGGTTTATCTTTAAATGGAGATAGATTCTATGCATTCATCTATCATATCATCTATGCATTCTTAGGTTTTCCCCTCTTCTGGTAAAAATAATATATGTTGACTCATAGATAGCATGTTTAACATGAATGAGCTGTTCGAAACCTCCAGTCGTATCAGATAACAAGAGGAGGAATAACCTACATATGTACATCATACCAAGACCCTATCTTCATGAAGAGATGAACTTTTATTTAATTGCTCTATGACTGACATACATTGTATGCTAGAATATATCATCATCTCTGATTAATATAAAACATTAATTAAATCATGTCACCGACAGAAATAAAAGGAACATTCAAAATTTTGTGAACACCTGTAAATACAAAAAATCCATTATATGAGAGGTGATCAGGAATTCCTGATCACCCCTCGTATTACCAATTTTACTTTTGACGTGGACTTACGTCAATGTAACAAATACGAGGGACTAAATGTATGAACTACGGCTTTATTTAAAAATCCTTTCCAAACCGAAGGCATTTTTGAGGCAAGACTATATTGACTAGTGGCAAATTATAATCTGCAACTTGACTTATAAGTAGGTCTAAATCGAGAAAACAAAAAATCGTATCCAGGAAGTTCATCCATTTTGTTACATTGACTTTTTTGACAAAGTTACAAAGAAACTTGTTTAGAACAACGCCCCTCCCGGATATAATTATAGATGATATTTAATATATTTAAACGATGAAGTATCGCGGCTTGATACAGTGGCATTTTTGTTTTGCAGGATTTTGTTGTGATAAGCGACATCTATCTTCTTTTTAAACTAACGCGAACGTGTAATATTGATCACAGGGACAACTATCCATTTCTATTGTTTTTCTAGGGATCTGAATACAACATCATACCTTTTATACAGTACAAGCTGGTAGTTACACTCAATCTGGCTAGTAAATACCAAAATGGAGAGAACAGAATAAAATGGATATCATACGATAAACACTAGGACTTATGTTGAGTTAATGATAGATCAGTTTGATTTTTAATTGTATGAGCAGAATAATCTCGCATTGCCTGTTCTAAATCCTAATCATGTATTCCATGTAGCATCGATTGTAATTTACTGTCACATTAAAACACAAACAAATAATTTATTTTTCTTCAATTTTTTTGAATTATGCTTTCTCTAATGTACAATTGTAACTTCTCGTAACTTCTACACGCCCGGTGTCAGAGTAAATATAGTCTCCCTGAATATATGGTCCGTGGGACCATACACCCTAGGACACCAGGTCCTCCGGGGGGATCACGTGTATGTAAGACATGATAAGACATGCTACTTGAATTTATTCTTATAACTCATATAACTTTTCCCATTTTTCATTCTCCAGAGATATAATATTCAGTTTCTTACTAGGGTACTGAGTTTAGTTTTTTCAAATACACGAGTTCTTGTGAATTTGTTCCATCGTAAAGACATATAATTCCCCCCTCCATCCACTCCCCCCCCCCTCCATCCAATATTAATTTATTTCGATTATTTTTTGTATAACGCATGGGAACTAACTTTTAAAAGTGAGCAATGGCATTAGTGTTGTGATAATAACGTCCCTTATACCTATTTATTACAGATCGTGGAGACCATTGTTGCCTGATTTAAAGCAAAAATATTGACTTGCACGTTGGTGATGATGCGCCTTTTTTAATAGATCTCATATCTTAGAAGCGTAAGCTTATCTGTTAAAAAAATACTAGAAGACCTAACATATTTTGCCATGCACTGCGCCTATTTATTTGGCAATTCAGTCGTAAATTTTCTCTTGAAAAAAGAAATCTTCCAAATGTGTTGAGTTTTCTTGCAGAAATCGCCTACTCCCCCCCCCCCCCCTTTCCATCCAATTTGTACTATCACCGGGCGTGTTCTAGAGGTGGTCGAGAATACAATACAATAAGGTAATCGAGCTGATTAGCTTTGACTTCACAGGCATCTCTCGTATATGTTCGAATGATGAGTAAATCAATTAACCACATGTACATATTATGTGGGCATTAGCTGCTTTAGAACACGAACAGTTCAATAATTCATGATGGACCTAGTGAGCATATTTGTTTGCAACCATAGTGAATCGATAAAATTATAATTTCCTTTTTAAATAGGGTCACTAATAACAGAAGATTTTATTAGAAATCACCATCCTTCGTTGTGATGGAAACATTGATCTGTACTTAAGTTCCGTGTTTTTTAAGGAAGGTCGAGCAGAATTAGTATCACGCGACCCATTGACCTGAATCATTGATATACATAAGAATTACTCTCTGCCCACCTTAAAGATTCACGCTAGTTTTGTATGTGATATTCCAATATTTCCAAGGTGATACGTAAACAGATCTATCTATAAACGTACTGGAGGTCTAATAATCGATTTTAAAAGAACATGCCACCTTTTTGCATCGATTACTTGTAATATGCATTTAATATTCAACAGAATGGGATGGAAGGTGAATATATAGGGTAAACTGGATTGGGTTTGAAAAGGGGAAACGATAATATTACCTTTCTTATATTCACAACAAAATCGACCACTGTATAAAGAAATGTGACCTTAGATTTTCAATGTATTAAAGCTCATTATATTCCAAAACATGGGCTTCCGAAAGAGGGGGGGGGGTTGGGTGGGAAATCCTTTAATGTGGGAGATAGGTTTGTCAGAGAAGTAGGGGAATTGGAGAAGCAGGACTGAAAGAGGATATTTCAAAGAAAAAATCAAAGGGGTAGAAGATGAGGGCGATGTAATAACCCACACAAAGTAAACAAAAGGTTCTTACACCGATATTGTAATCCAAAAATAAAGGCCCCATTTAAAAACTTTATAATTCAAACCAATGATATTGCTGTCAACAAGAATGACATATTTGGAATTACAGATGTTATAAAATCTACAATTCATTTTCAATTCATTAATGCATAACCAGGCCTACGGATGTATTGATTAATATTTTTGCATTTGTACCCGACTCCCCTCCATAAGTTTGGCAACATCACACCGGAAAAGCCTGACAACTGTAAAGTCAGATACCGTTGTCACAAATGGCGGACATAACCGTCGCTTTAACTCTTTAAATCACATAGTGGCTGGTAGTGTATTTGAAAGGTATTTTTGAACTTACTTCAAATTGACCAGTTACTCTTTTAAAAATCATCTACAAGTTATCAGAAGTTCAAATTTGACTTTAGATATGAACTTTGACCTTCAATGACCTTCTCAAGGTAAAAAAGGTCTTTTTTCAACTTGCTTCAAGTTGACCAATCTTTTTTTCAAAATCGTTTACAAATTCTCAACAGTTCAAATCTGACTATAGATTTGACCTTCAACGACATTCTCAAGGTCAAAGAGGTCTTTTTTTCATCTTGCTTCAAGTTGACCAATTTTTTTCAAAATCATCTACAAGTTCTCAGAAGTTCAAATCTGACTTTAGATTTGAGATTCTACCTTCAATGACCTTCTCAGGGTCAAAAATGGTATTTTCACAACTTGTTGAAGCAACTTATTGACCAATTTATTTTTTCAAAATCATCTACAAGTTCTACGAAATTCAAATCTGACCAAGATTGAACTCATAATATTGTGAGCAACAAGGTGGTGACATTTTGTCATGTTAATGCCTTGTCAAATATTATCGTTGTCATCTCGATTTTACATTAAAGCCTTTATTTCGATGGTAGAACATATTTAACTATATGATGAATAGAAAAATACTTTGAGTGATTGTAGTACCAAAGGAATTTAATCTAGTCGCTCTATTAAATATACAGTTCATGAAAATCTAATTGAAGCGACGGTGATGTCCGCCATTTGTGACAACTGTATCTGACTTTACCGTTGTCAGGCTATTCCGCTGTGAACATGAAGTCTTCATTTGATAACATTATGAAAGCCTGTTTTTTGATTTACTTTGATTTCTTCCTTTAATACAATAGTTTGAAAAATGACACATTTGATTTTTCCAATCACCAACCATAAGCATCTTGTTGGCCAAATTATGGAGGGGGTTGTACATTTAGTTAGGACTTCATCACTTGTTTCGATTCAATCAATAACATATTATGCACTTATATTTGTATTAAAACATTTATTTGTGTGTTATTTACAATGAAAAGTACACGGTACATATTCAGAAAATATATCAATATAAAATTATTATGCTGGTGATAATATCACAAATACTTACTCATTTATATTAAGTAATTTACAGTTTTCTTGTTTATACTTGCAACAAGTAACATGTCTTTCGACCACAGGTGGTTTTCTACAAGCTTCTCAAGTATGGTTTTATTTACCCTTGTACATATGTCAAATAGATGTGCCGTATCTTTAAAATATATCGTATTGTCTTGAATGTATATCACAGAAAGCATGAAATAAAATGAAAATATAACTTGTGCAAGTACATGCACTCATTCATGTCATTACAATGATTAATTTGACAGCGTCAGTATAAAAGTAGGAATCACATCTACAGGCATATTGGATGATTGCGTTTATAATGAGTTTTCCAAAGTATGCATGCTGTGTACAGAGGAAGAATAAAACATCAATTCTGCACAAGTTGGTGGCAAAGCCTATTCATGTATTGAATATGTAAACTATAAACTAGTCGATCATCCAGCAAGTTACATGATATTTTTAGGGATATCGTAATCTCCATGGATTTTTATAAGAATATCAGCATACTTAAAAACATAGAATTAATGTAGAAATATATATTTTTTGATATTGGAAGTTTTTGACGCTGATTTTATCAAATCGTTGCCACCGAAGACCCAGAAAGGACGGAATTGCGAATGTTATAAAACGTCCTTCCTTTCGCCATTGCTGCTGACAATTCGAGAGATTGCGTCATGTGAACGTTTTAAAAATGAATCAAATATACATTTATGGTGGTTCACCATGTTCTGATTGTATAACTGATCTTTTACAACAATCCAATTCCTGAGTATCTTCATCATGATAAACCATGCCATCTCATTTCTTCTCAGCCCTGAGATGTTTCAGGTGAAACAGAAAGATGCTATGAGTATCAGAATGGAGTATCTTGGATACATTATAAGTGAATGTTTGCGTTCATCACTGATGGTTAGTGAATCAGACCCGAACAAATCTACTGTTTTAGTTCTATTCGTACAAATTCATATTCAAGATACTCTTATCACTCTCGCTATGGAGAATCTTGTCTCTATTCTGTACATATTTTTGTTATAAGTCGTGTCTTCTTAATATAAGGGTGTCGGTTAGCCATAATTGGTGACAGCATTAACTGCTGCAGCGACAACCACAGTGAAATAGACAACGATAATGACTACAATGATGATTGTGCTGAATATGCCGACAAGACTCAACGCTAAGGAGATCTTTCCCTTCGTTCTTGCTCCCTCGAAATCGCCATCATCGGCTGTGGAGGACGACATTACTGAGAATACGATTGCAATGATACCTGGAAAGAAATAAAACGTTATACTAGTATACGATGGCTGCTAGAAAAGAAGAAAAGCAAAACGCCAGGATTTGGTACTGATGGTTCAATATTCAACCCCCAACTCAAGAGAATTTATTGTTTTTATCTTATCTACTTTCTAACACTCTCTCTTTTCATGAATTTTGTCAACAGTCAAAATCGGCGTTTAAACCTGGTTTCTTTACAAGGTATTTGCTTATGTAAGTATTAAATAACACGAAACAAATGTTAAACTGCCGGTCATTTTAATAAAATTCTTGATATTGTAATGGATCATACTTATTTTGTGAGCATACTTATTTTATGTTTAAAAGAAACACGCTAGTATTAGTGTTTTACTTACCAAAAATAATATTGCAGCATATAGTTGTGAAGATAGCTAAAGCTAAATAATTTGACGGTCTTGGTGCCGCTTGTTGTATAATAGTGGTGTGGGTTGGAGCTCCCGGTTGAACAACCACTGTCTGTGGACCAGCGGCGTACCCAGCCTGCTGATATTGTCCCGGTGGGGGAGGTTGTTGTCCAGCATAGCCAGGTTGTTGATATTGTCCCGGTGGGGGAGGTTGTTGTCCAGCATAGCCAGGTTGTTGACCTTGGTCATATGGTGGTGGCTGTTGTTGAGTCTCTTTTTCCGCCATGTTGGATGTTTCCCCTCTGAAAGACACATACAAATACACGTTTTAATATGTTCTATTCTGAACAAATTCAGTAAACTGCTGATGAGCGGTGCTTGTCTTTTTATTTTCAAAAACGGCTTATTACATTATTTCTTCTTTAATTTCAAACTGTTCTGTTGTACAATTTCTGAATAAAGAGACATGTTCATTTAGTATTTTTCAAAAATAATTGATTCAGTCTAAATGTTTAAAAATCGCTTAAAAGTGTCTAATTTATTAAGCATATTTGTAATCAACTTTAATATTCAGATCCAGACACTATGAAGGATATTATGCCATTTTAAAAATAAATTTAGCCTAATACGAGTATTTATCCTGCGATTGCCATTTCAAATACACTGACTTTAAGGAGCTACTTGTACCAACTACCTGTTTATCCTCCTTCTTTAGCTGAATTCGGTAATAAAAGAGGTGACGTATATTTTATTAAAATGTCTCCCAAAGAACTGCTACCCACCTAATTACACAGACGTATCGTCGGTGTATCATGGCGGAACTTCCTCCGGGACTAGGTTTCGGTAAGATTTTTTTATTTCCCGATTTACACCTACTTATAAGTCACGTTGTGGATAATAACTTGGCTCGAAGTTAAGGAAGATAGTCTAGTTTGAGAATGTGTCGATGGTTTTAGGTTTTATATGTTAACAAAGACAAAATTCACGTATTTAGTCCCTCGCTTTTCTTACACTGACGAACGACCAATATCAGTGTAATATTGGCAATATTAATGCAGATCGTCAGTGTAAGAAAAGCGAGGGACTAAATACGTGAATTGTGTCTTTGTTAACATATAAAACCTAAAACCATCGACACATTCTCAAACTTAGACTATCTCCCTTAACTTCGAGCCAAATTATTATCCACAACGTGACTTATAAGTAGGTGTAAATCGGGAAATAAAAAAATCTTACCGAAACCTAGCCCCGGAGGAAGTTCCGCCATGATACACCGACGATACGGTTGTGTAATTAGGTGGGTAGCAGTGCAAAGGTAAGTTAGTGATGTTTTTGGCGTGAGACCAATAGAATCGCGCACAATATGTTATTAGCTTGAATTGTTCAGTAAACCCATCATCATTTTTGTGTCGATGTTTTACAATTTCTTGTCATTTCTTTCCCAGACAACTCATTATTGAATATGTGACTTTGAAACCATATTTCATGCGACGTTCTTGACAACGATGTACCAAGTGATTCCCAGGGGATTCATTCAACGGTAATTATTTCATCTATAAAGACTAAATCTAAGACTTCAACCTCTATAGACTTACATTGGCCATCTAAAACGTCAAAAGGATCTCCATATCTAAAAGAGTTAGAATATAAGTAGTTGAGGAAAATTGATTTTCAAAACAAATTGCTACATGATTTGCTCTTAAAAGTTCAACCATATGACGAACTTATTGCACATATATTTCAACCCTTTTTAGCCTGGGTACCGAACTCCTATGCAGTGTCTCGGTATAGACACTGCGGTGGGCAGATTATGGAATCCCCAAAATTTGGGGAAGATAGTCCCCCTTTTTGTCACAGATGTACTTGTTTTTCACACAACGTATAAAATATATGTTCTTTTATGTTCACCAATAATTATTTTGTCAAAATATTCCAAAATCAATGAAATATAAGAGGAAATCCGCGCGGAAGGAATTCTGAGTAAAAGTTGTGTTGATAAAAGTTTACCGCACGTGTTGTTTATTAGTTAATACGCGCAATTCAACCAATGAAATTGTCTAAATTTTACAATCACGCGACCTGAGCATGGGACTAGAACCAATCACGTCAGTTGTTTATTACGATGTTACCATGCTTACGGTGAGATACCTGCCCGCCGCAGTGATATATCACTGCACGGGAGTTCGCCTGGGTACAAAAAGAACTATTGAGGGATTTCAGAGATCTCGTGCTCGATTCCAAAATAGGTCTTGTGATATATTGAAATAAGCCCAATAAAGACAGACAATAAGATTTGATATATCCCAAACCCCAGATGGGTTGTATGTCAATGGTTGTATTTGGAAGATGTTTCACACACAACAACAGCAATAAAAACAACAACAAACACACATACAATATCTCTATGCAGGAGATGTAAAATGTCATCCCCTGGGTATAGATATATTATGAGAATATCTATTGACTATAGAATAGTATTTGAATAGAACTCATCTATGACATTGAAACAGGAGAATGTATTGTATTCTATTAATCTATCACCGCATGCAAGAAGTCGACATTGTTGTTGCAGTTGCCTGGATACAGGATTAGTAATCGGAAAGAGGAGGGAAAGCCCCAGAGTTTAAAGATGACAGACATAATTACCTCTCTTGCTTACCACCTTCGTTCGTTCGAATTTTCATCGGCAAGTTATCAAATACTACACTTCGATGGGGTGTTTTAATTGATATAGGCATATTTTGTACACCTTTGTTTATCTTGATGTGAAATGAGAAGCTGTGATATTGGTTAACACGCCAGAAATGAACCTAATATTATTCGAAGCATACTTCGAAAATTTTGAAACCGCCATTGATGACGTCATTTGTTTGTCGACTTTTGACCAATCAGCGACGATGTCATCTCAATACAGATTTACATTATAAGCGTATGTCATCTTTGAACCCTGGTGTTTCTCCCCCTCTGGTAATCGGATAACCTTGTACGATTTGGCCATTTACGAACAATATTACAGTTCCTTTATAGTCTGTTTGTCAAATTAATTGCATATCCAATTAGACTATTAAGGTATTAGATAATTAGATTTGAATTGCATACGCTATAATCACGAAATTACAATACTGAAAATAAACATTTCTCAATATTTCCAGTGCTAATTTCGCAATATCACACTCATCGGAGTTAAATGGATCTGATTGAAACAATTTAGACTTAAACAAAACCTGATCTGTCAGAAATACAGAGTGACCTTGCAAAATACAATCTTCTAATTTTGGAATATGGGTCATCTTAAATTTTATTGTGTACATTGTTTAAATGTGCCAAAATGGCTTTGAGGTGAAAGAAATGGGTTTCCGTGGAGGAAAGCTCGTGAAAATCGTAAAAATGTATTTTGAAAACCTGAATGTATCCCTTAGGCTATAGGCGAAAATTCACTAAATCTTTAAGTCAAAGAGAGATATTCCAGTAGCCGTTTCATCCATTTATCACTTCATCTTTGCAATAAGATCCAAGGAGATTCTACCGAGGGTTTTTCAGGCTCAACCTGTAAAAATAGTATTCCTTAAAATTCCACTAATACCCATATCCATACCTTCCCTGATAAAATGGTGTTGTCGAATGCTTAAACAAGGGTTGAACTGATTGATACCTGACGTGAAGTATTAAAATCTCACCAAATCTACAGGCGGGCATGCATCACAGAAGCAAAAAGCAATGATAGATGAAATGTCAAATCATTATTGGAGGCAAAAAACAACAATGTCGTCTTGCTTGTTTAGTTTGATTGTGTTGGTTGTGATAACACAAGAAGTATGTATACCCTTGTTGGCTGGCTGGGGGGTCGTTGTTATAGTCAGGTTGTCCCGGCATCTCATCGCCCTTGGTAGACATGCTACACAAAACAAATACACATATCTTAATCTAATACTACACACCAACGTATGTTACATATTGTAAATTACATGGCTAGGCATGCATTATCAAATTCTCATCAATCAGAAAACAATACATTAATAATGTAATATCAGAATACAAAGCACGAATCATAATAAAAACCTTCATGAAATAAAGTATGACCTTGTGTGAAAAAGTATATTTATTATCATCAATTATTAGCCAAGTAGTTGTACATATACATCACAGACGTTAAATACTCAAGCGTGTAACTCAGAGTCAAGTTCCCGTGTCACATCAGAACACCCTGGCAACTGTAAAGTCAGATACTGTTGTCTCAAATGGCGGCCAAGAGAAATGAGAACCAAGTGATTAAAAAATTGAAGCGACGGTTACGTCCGTCATTTGTGACAACGACATCTGACATTACCGTTGTCAGGGTATTCCAGTGTGTGTCCCTACTACCCTACAAGCAAATCTACGCGATTGTAAGAATGTAGGAGGGAAACCAGGTAATTAATGAGTTAATGCAAGCCTAGACAAAACAATGACAAGTAAAAAGACAATGACACGGTCATAGGAAATAGGAATGTGGATGAAAATGAGGGCATGTAGTATATTAGACAAATACGTATTCCCATTCTGAGAAATTGAATGTCAAAGTTGTTCATAAATTGTGGTCTACTATCACCAAAACAGGTCTTTCCTCCAAACATTCTGTAAGTTATTAATTTATTTTGCTATTAAACTGTCATAGTAATTGGTTTCCAAACTGTCATATACATGAGCTACAGTTGTGATCACACCGTGCTAAGAAACCGTGAGAACCATAAAACCATGGGCTTCCAAGAGAAAGGCTATGATAGAATCATAAATCGTGCAAAAATTGTAGAGATCTGAAATGAAATGCTGTTATAGGGATGCCAAATGTAAAGGATGATTTACCACATAGGCCAAGAGAAAAGTTATGTAAGCTACATTGAGCTATTTAATTGGCCTATGTTTTGCCATCGAGGTATGGAATACTCCGATGGATCAATATATCTAATTAAAAGTTATATAGTAATTATCTTGATCGATAAACGTTTGCCATATACATGGGGCATCATCTTCTATAGATTCTGAGATTTGCTCGTAAGGCAGGCGATGTATTGTCTGCCTTTTGCTTTAACCTCAGTTGTTGATGTCTCAATCCCAAGCTAGTCTAGCTACAAGCTCTTGTGACATCCCCACTACAACATCTCTGTGAGAAGGTGTTTAGTCAAGTAGAGGGGGAGGGGGTATCACAGAAGCTAATACCCAGACTTTCCCAAGTTTAAGATTGATCAAACAAAAGTAACCCATCAAATTATGATATAGGGGTTACTAGTGACCAAACCAGCAAAACCTATAAAGAAATAATTTGTTTAGAGCAAACGATACGCAACATTTGCCAACCCCCGTAGTCGTGTCTAGATTGAAATTTTTTATCTATCTTATACTTTGGTAATTATTTTTAAAGAACAAAAAAATTATACTTTTTCCATCACATAACCAACCAGCTATTAAAATTGTACAACCCATTTTCGATTTCCAAGGTGGTTATAATAGAATTAACATTGATATAACCAGCATATTAAACCGTCTGTTATACAGGTACATTAATTATAAATGACATTTAAATTGTATACCTGCTGGACACTATAGTAACCAAATAACATCCTCTGTCAAACCATAGCTCAACACCCGCATCCAAAATGTCCAATGTTAAATTTATATATACAGATATACTGATGGAGCTATTATATTGGTATCCTTCTCTTCAAGGTGGAATTGATGAGTAATTAAGATATAAAGATACACTTACGACTGAGTAAATATATTACACCACCACTCATGATTACTGAAAAAGGGCATACTTACGGCTGAGTAAATATATATTTCCGCTAATTTTCATTTGTGTAGCTGTATCAATTATGATTTCGATAATTCTAAATTAATATATCATACAAATGTAAATATTTACAACGAATTAAAGAGCATACTTACATTTAATGTTTATGTAAATGAAATCAGGTGAGCAAGTAATGAATTCTGTAAATCCAAAATGAGATCACTTAATCCTCTTGCTTGCTTCCTTGTTTCACCTTGTTCACAATCAGAAGGTATGCAAATGGCGATGTAAACTGTTCGTGCGTTGATTGATTTTGCTCGACTAAAAAGTAGCCGTTTCCTAGCTGCCAGTGGAATATTTACTTATCTCCATAGTGATCGATCAACTCATCGCGGAAACCTACTGACATGTATGTTTGATTACTGATTGGACATTTGCATTGCAATAGATGGCAACAGTTTATGAATAGTGTATGTTCTAATGAATGAATGAAATAAAGAACATAAAAATATATTGTTTGTAAAGAATATACACCGTATATCTAATAAAAGCAGTTTTTTTGGTTGCAGAATCTCATTCCACCATATTTCATTCAGCCCGAGTCACAGATGAGTAAATTCTGTGGATATGGAAGCTATGTGGTGGACGGAGATTGGGGAGTGGTGGTTCTATTAAATATTCAGAAACTTTCAGAAAAACATTTACGATAACTTCAGCACCTATTCCCTTAATTGAATGTAATAACAATAATAAAGAAGATATTTTTCAAATCATAAAAATCTGAGCTCTAGGTAAAGGTATAAAGTAATAATATTTTTAAGTTATGCTATCAAAATAATGCTGATTTTTCAACAAAATGCAACATTTTGTTAACACTGTCTTTGACCCTCCTTCTGACAAGTGTTAGCACACATCTTTAAAGCATCCATCAATAAGGCCGATAAAAAGATGGCGTTTGTAGTATTAACCTGTGTTACAATAAAATACCAATGGATGTGTAGATACATAAGGGTTATGTACTTGGAGGTTTTGGATACGGGTTTTATCCAGAGGGATATATGCATATCTACCTGAGGGACCGTGGGGACCGAAGGTAGATGTGCATATCTCACTCGGGATAAACCCCATATCCAAACTCTGCTTTATCCTCTACCCAGTGGAGTTTTCTATTTTCCTAATTTTTCAACATTTTGTTTTCTTATTTTATTATCAACATTTTTTGAAATCTCATACATTTGACACTATTGAAAATCATAATCTATGTAGACAATCATGAAATCAATTTGGGAGTACCAAATGTCGAACAATAGCCTAAAAGATCTATTTAGTGACCCTGTTGTCGAAAACGACATTTAACGTAACCGAATTGCAAATCCTACTTTGTTTTCTGTTTTTCATTTCTGTCCTGGTCATTCATTCTTAGTCTACTTTCCGGTACAAATAAGTGTTTTCCAGTTTGGTTGGTAAGTAGTATACTTACATGAATGTATGTAACACTAAAGAAGTAGGCAGAATCATGTAAACTGCTCATTTTTGTGAGATCTCTTTTTGCTTTCATTTGTTTACATTTTTCTCATCTTACTACAGTATTGAAGAGCTATCTTGACCTACATTCAATTATTCGGTCAATTTCGGCATGATTATAACTAATGATGATTGGTTTATGTTATATTTATTTAGTTTATACATTTATCTAGTTAATTATATACCAAACATGTATTAATGTTACATTAGATAGCACAGATTTTGAGATTTTTGAGATAAACATAGGATATTCATCGCTCATCTGAGAATCTTTGTAGATTACATACATCCACGAGGGGAAAGAGTACCCGTGTATATACAACCTACCGCCGAGCAAGACACGCACATACCGCCGAGCAAATGTTTGATAATGTCATCTCGTAGGAAAATGGACAATAAAGGTAATATAATGTCACTAACAATTCCTTTGGATGGTTAGAGTTGTTACTAAGATGTTCTAGCAGGCGCAATTGGCCTAGAATTATAGTTGAAATATATTTTTATGTCCAAATTAAGAGATAAGGTAAACGTATAATGGTTTTCGATTTGTTTTTCTCATCCATACTCGCTTTAATTGATAATGAGCCATACATAAGACATACTTGGGTCGGTAAATGGATGTGCATATGCATAATATATTAAGTGTCAAAATATTAGGTCAAAATAGCACTTTTGAACAGCAAAATCTTCACTTAAACTTTGTCCTAAAAGATCCGAGGTTATCGGACATCGGACCCGATGTGATCGACGAGTAATATTATAAAGATCCGAAAATATCTTGAGTAAAGGATCTCAGAATCCGAACATTACTTGAGTAAAATCTGTTGAGATCCGATTATATCGTCGAGTTTATGACGTGCTGATGAAATAATAACATGTAATAAACATACAATCTGCATCATTCATGTGAATCATTTTGTTGTGAACAATAAATGAAACTGAAAAAAATATGGCTATCACCAGTCCCGGTCACCAGTTACCACTGCACAACGAAACATTGTATTTCAGGTCCTCGGTACAAATGCTTCCACTGTAGTTATAAATCACACGAGATGGATGACTTTGTGGTCCACTTCAGTCAGCTGCATCCATTACTGAGTATTAAAGTTAATGTGCCTGAGTTAAATGGCAAAAAATGGATTTACAATGTTTTTGACTATGGTATTGTATTATCAAAGAAAGATCACGGTAATTTTCGTTTTGAGTATATGAAGCTTGTGAAGCTTGGGATTCTTCAAGTTGTGTTCTTTGAGTAGAATGGCGCTTGCAGTGCAGAATTAAATGTTTTTGGGTTGCACTCTTACCATAGACACATAGGAAATTATGGTGATTCAAGTGTAAGCATGAATTCAATGTTTTAAAGAACTTTGCCGGAAACAGACGTTGACGTATAGTGCTGCGGGAATTATATCATATTATAATATATCCCGGTGCCAGGAGTATATGATAAATAAAAAGGAATATTTGTGATATCGTCATGATATTATATGCTCATTCGAAAGCTTGCTCACTACCTCATCGGGTTCTACTCACGGTATAGTCGGAATAGCTCGGTGGTAGCTTCGGGTCCTATATAATCGTACTCGTGACATAATCGGGTCTTTCATTTTCAACTTTCACCGGTGATTTCAATGATATACAACGTATGGCAGTGAAATAAATATGATACATTTACACCTATTGTATCTTTGAATCGAATGAAGTAAAGGCAGCCATGGTTGTTACTTATTCAAGATGTAAATCATCATTCAAATATTTAAAAGTTGAATTTGGCGATTGGATAGTAAACATTGCGCTAAGTACTCATTATTTTGCAAACATGAGTGCCCGGAACAATAACTTTATCAGTTACACACAATTCTGTGTTTTATCTGTTTCTCATATTGAGAAATTCAAGATATAAACAAAAGTTTATAACTCACCCCCTACATTTTCAGACATCTTCGGGTCTTTGCTCGGCGGTAGGTTGTATATACACGGGTACTCTTTCCCCTCGTGTACATCTATAACTTGAGGGACTTAGAATATTCATTGATCAATTGATGAAAAATTATATCAGTGATGAACACTTCTATATATAGATAGATGTATACAAGTATGATTGCATAAAGGACTTTGATAACAGCATCTCTGAAACTGAAACTTAGTATAAATTATCAATTTGTGTTGTATTATTTTGAGGCGAAAGAAGCCAGAATATATGTGGTCTGATTAATAACAGCATCCACATTACCACAATCAGGCCAGACGTTACAATATCACATCAGAAAAATAATTGAAATAAGATTCGAACATGACTGTATTCACGCCTTCTATAAACTGTAAACAAAGTCAATGCTTCGTCTGGGTTATATTCGAGATCAATAACCTAGTTAATACGTGTAATGTGTGACGTCATAACGATGGGTCGTAGTAATGGTGGACCATGATGAATATTCGAAACAATTTGGTGAGTTTTCATGTTCGAATCGTAATATATACCTCAGAGCAGGGGTAATATCGTCGAATACACCCCTTGGGGCTAGGCACAAAATCTTTCGAAACCCTCACTCCCTTCGGTCGTTCGGGGTACAGAAAACGTTTGTGCCTAGCCCTGCAGGTTGTATTCGACGATATAACCCCTGCTTTTCGGTCTATATTTCTTAAATAAAATAGAATTGAAATACCACATAAATAAACAATAAATATGAATTTGATATATCATTTAAAACTATTTTACCTTCAGTAAGAACCTCGTAATTACATAATGATTTTGTTGCACAGATCCAGATCCATCTATTGTATCAACTATATGCTAAGAAATAGTTCGATAGAGTGCAGGATATAGCGAGCATTGTCATGGCAAAATTGGTTTCGTTCTCAAAGTGTTTATTTACTTTTTATTTCAGAGAAGAATATGTTAAAGCAATTACAATACAGTAACATGGAATACTGTTTTGATTACACTTCAGTTGAGAATTTAGAATTGTATACCTTTGGCGTTTTAAGGGGGAAATCTAAAAAAAAAAATTACGCCGTCAAAACTCAAATTACTTGTAAAATAATACATTAAAATAAAACGTGTAAGGTAACAGCCAAGAACGTGAACAATTGATTTATGTTGATCTCACGTGGCGGTGGTAGTTTTCCGAATACTGTACCACTGCGTCAAAAATGTCAAAATCTCAGTGATTCGATTCAAAAATTATCATTCAAAAGCATTTAATTGAAGTTTTATATCAGTCAGCACTGAAGCTAACTCAAACGAATGCAAAGGGTACCCCGTATTTAACTTGTCTGTTCATTCATGGACTTACAAAAGATCGATGGTTTATTTGCACGTTCTCGGCGGTAGCATCGAAGAGTCGACAAAACGCAATCATATGTCGCATCAATACTTCGATTATCTTTTATGTGCTAATTGATACAGGAGAGAACGCTGTCAGTACGAAATTACGGAATGCGTCTCCGGATATTGAGAGGCTGTGATTTCATTGTAATCGGCATATGTTATATCAGGTGATAATTAGCTGTTTCACACCCTTTTGACATCATCATTTTAATACCCTGAAATCTAGGTTAGATAACATTATTTTATTTTAATGAGTTCTATCTACTATTTTTCTTTTCTGATTTAAAAGAAGACACATTTAAAGTCATTATGTACCGAAATCCCAGTTTCGCAGAATAATGTCATGTTTACTGTATGTTATATTATATGGGAGAAGATTGGTGTGGAATATTATCTTATATAGAAATGATGAATCTACATGTATTTCTGATTCTCACTTTAATAATTGCTTACATGATGTTTCGACACGCGCCTAGCTATAAATAGCGGCGTCTTTTGCTATCCTTCAGTTATTGGTATTGGTTCTGTTCTACAACAGATTCGATGATGTTTTCTATGAATGTATTGATATAAGTGCCATACATGTTCTTGAAACATACTCTGAAATGGCTAATGACAGTTACTCTATTTAAGAGGAATACTAGCGCAAGGATTTGTATCTGAAACAATATTTTTACCATTCGATATGGTGTTTTTGAAGTGGCTGCTTGGGTGTAGTATCATAATACCCCTTACAGTCTGGTGTCGGGAATTCAGGATTCTCATTTTACTTCCACGGACTGATAACAATTGGAAATTTTCATTTGGAACAGAAATGTCCGGGGCTGCAGGTAAGAAATCAACAAATAGATAGCATGTCAACCATATTATTGTTTTAAAAGTCTTTATTTCAGTTATGACAACATTTTAAACCAGTCGTAGCCAATATGCATTGAATTATTTATTTTCTGAGTTTTGTAAATGGAATGATCCTTGACGTTATGGTCCAAGATTGTGATGATGGTTCTTGAAAGGAAGACATTGTTTCTTTTCACGTTTGAAACATGAATGGAATAGAGAAGGGGGCGTTGGGAGTTTCAATTCTGGATCTTAACTCTTTAATAACTTTTTATACTTCAAAGCCTCTCAATCAAACCATAAAAAGGTAGCTGGTGTGTCTAGGGCTATCTCGTAGCCGTTTATTGTCATAAAAACACTATAGAACTCTACATGTTTGTTTCATAACATAGTTTTTTGTTGATAAACAACACAAACATATTTATATATACATACATCGAAAATGATATTATGTAAGATAAAGATAAAAATAAGACTTTACATAATATATAATAAATTACGTAACATATTTGATGCTTGAGAAAAAGATATGTATACGCTGTACATATATCGAAAATGAAATAATATAGGATAAATATTTAATATGGCATTACATAATTTAAAATTAATTCAGGTAAACAGTACGTAATATATGATTTGATGGTTAAGAAAAAGGATGCAAATGATGACACGATTGTCCTTAACAGGTGGTGCTATTGTGGGGATGGATGGCGGAAAATATAGTTTAATCCTTTTCGTATTTTCGAAATCTCTGTTTCACAATTTGAAAATTTAAACATATAAGTATGCATTCAAACATGTATACGGTTTGCTAGCAATTTACTGAATGACCAGTATTTGATCAAGTTTGATATGATCCATTTATCCCAACATTTACATTCCCTATCGCTTTTACTTCCTTATATCACGTAATAGGAATGTAAGAGACGGCAATACCTCTATGTAATTGCTAGTGTGAACGACGCAGGAGTATTAGTATTATTATTTAATTAATATCACTTTGTTTAATTATCTGCTATATAATATATTGTAAATTATAATTTTTGTTGTCCATAAATGTATTTCAGCTATTATAACTCTAATTAGCAGTATACTATGAGGTTATATAATGCTTGATTCTGTATATCGTGTTTATACTCAAGTGAGTATATGATATATTCACGAGTGACCGAAGGGAACGAGTGAATATATCATATACTCACGAGAGTATAGCGATATACAATATCAACCATTATATGATCTTATTATCCCACCCTAATCTTTAATCAATAAGAGGTTAATCTAAATTCAGCAGTTGTATATCGAGTCGAAGAGTTGTATACGCTGCCCAAGAGTTGTATACGCTATCCAGGAGTTGTATATCGTTCTCAAGACTAAGAGTTGTATACGATGAGTGTTGGTTTTATATTGCAGTTATACAATGCTATTATACAATCATATAAAGCACTTAGGGTGGGATAAAATACAATAGGTGACATATAAGATGACATACACTACAGTGTACACACAGCTCAAAAGCATCATATTTAATACAAAAGCGCTATACGTAATATAAATAACAGTTCTTATCATTTTTCTGTTGTCGCTACTTTCAGCATTGGAAGCGATAGACTTTGCCAACGCCAATATACTCACCGGCAACAATTTATTGACAGCGGACTTTGCCGACACCAGGTGCAACCAGATTCAAGGATTGGGTAACGTATATACACGTCGCACGAAACTGGGGACAATGAGCGTAATATTATGGCGTCAAAATATCAAAACAAAACAATGAGCAAATAGACTTATAACGTCAAAAACGACAAGCGAACTACATTTTACCAAGTTTAGTCAACCTAAAAATAAGATGCTTTATCCTTATTCAATCCTGGTAAAGTTCACAGAGCAACAAGATCTCGAGGACAATATTTCAAAAATGTTTTTGATTTTTGAAAAACGGCATAAATGCTCATGTTCCATTGAATTAAATGTGAAATTTTAGTAAAATTCTGATCAGTATTTCAAAAGTTATCCCGATTTCAACGAATCGTGTAAGCGTAAAATGTTACGTCTTACAGCGTATTTGACGATGTCGGGGTACATTTAATTTTAAAAATATGGTAGATCCCATCAAACTTTTCAAGGAAAAATAATTTCAGTGAAATACTAATAAAAAATACTTCAAAATGACATATAAAGCACATAGTTAGCTTTTTAAATAAGGCAGAGATTAACGCTTAAAGCTGAGATTAGCCCGTATTTCCCGAACTGTCCCCAGGTCCGTGCACGTCATAACAACGAGTGAATGTTGATATCTTCACGAGTGAGCGCAGTGAATGAGTGAAGATATTGATATCCATGAGTGGATATAAATGGTATTTTTGAAAAGCCATTGGTTTGTCCGGTTATGTGGAACAAAAATTTGAATTTGAATAAATATATAAGCGCAAATGCCAAAGGGAAGGGTGACTAAAAACCTTAAAGAAACCCAACAAGAAAAGCAAACTGTAAGTGTAAATCTGTCATAAGAAAAGTAGACCCTTTATATTCCAAAACCATGATCTAACGTGAAAAGAAACAATGTCTAGATCTAACATCCCCCTCCCCCTCCAATCGAGAACCAATATCACAATCCAGGACCAGAACACCAAGGGACATTTCATTCATACTGAAGTCATTATACAATACATGTTGAAGAGAAATTGTAAAAATTAATAGCCAATACTCATAACATCAAAAATAGTAGATACTAGTACTCAAAAGATTCGATCCCTATTTCTCAACCGTTAATGCCATTGAAATGAAAAAAAGTTTCAAAGCTAAAGATTGATAAAAAATTGAAAAAATCTTTAAATAAATTGAAAAAGTTAATAAGAATTTGCTATTCTACTCAAACATTGCTCATATACTTCTGATGAGATATGTTTTATTTTATTAACCATGCTCTGCTATATAGCAGTCCTGCTACTATAATTCACAATTTATATTTTAGGCATCGCTGTGGACAAGTTAACATCAATTAAATACAGTGCCATAGTTGGCCCGCCCTGTTCCGGTGTATGCAAGCACGTGGGTCGATTGGCAGCTTACAAGAATATCCCTATGTTTAATGGTGTGTGTCAAGGCATTGAGATGCTTAACAAAGACGTGTTTTCAGTAAGTTAATTTATATTAGATTATTACAACAATAATGTATTTTGTCATTAACTGAATTATTTATTGTATTCATATAGTAGTTTGACTATAAAGATAAATGAATCTTCACAGATACTTGGAAATGACGAACTATAGTTCTTTCAGACTCTCACACGCTTTCTTGGCACATTTGATTTGGTTGGTGGTGCTGTTGCTTCATTTCTAAAGTCATATAATTGGAACCGTATCAGCATAATTTCCCAAAAGCACAAAGATTCAATATGGATACTTACACGAGATGCTGTAGCATTTTTAGCAGAGAAGAATAACATAACCGTCGCAACAGAAGAAACGCTGGATCTTATCCCCGGGCCAACACATCTGTCACAATTTAAAACAGCTGTGACTACAAGCAGAGGTGAGGAGAAATAACTGGTATAATAAAAAGTTACAATTTGCATGTATTTGTGAAAAGAAAATTACTGAATATCAAGTATCAGGATTTGGTTGTTTAAGATCATAATTTGAAAAGATAACAGCCTTTATTATATCACTATCTAGCTAGCGACAGTATGATTGGTCAAAACCGGGTCACATGTCGTGGGATATCTGGCGATATTCAATGGCAATGCTAATCAGATAAGACAACCGTGAGATATCTAGCGATATCCCACGCTCCCGGGAATTTTCAAAGAATTTGTTTTCGTTCAGTGTAAATAATTCAGTTCAGTGTAAGTCAAAATGGCAGACGAACCGAGTAGATTCGTAAAAATATCAATGTTAACCTATGACTTAATAATATTAGGGATGTTTAGCTAGACAGTGATATAATAAAACAAATATTTCACTCTATTTTCGGTGAATACCTGTAGCACTTTCACAAGGTGATATTCCACTTGCCCATCGGGCTTCGTGGAATATCACTTGTGAAAGATGTACAGGTATTTTACTCACTTCGAGAGCCATGTTAAATTTTGACACTTATGGCTCTCAAACGGAGAAGTGAACAGCTGATCAATAGTGACCTTTGAAATCGAATTAAGTCGATCAGCGGCTTACTTTTGGTCTCTAACTGTGTATTACATCAGTATCATCGATCCATGTAAGTATTGGAGCGCTGGAGTACTTCTTTTTCGATCAAGACTTGTAAATTGTTCATCGAGTGAAAGTTTTTTAGACCTATTTCCAATATTGTGGGTTGATAGGTGCGAGATACGCAACGAACGAAATGAATTTTGAAAATTAGTTAGGTTCGGACAACCTCCGGAGTTTTACGAAAATGTCCGAGCAGAAACCGCCATATTGGAATTTGGCAGTAAAACGATTCACTCGACTAACAATTACAAGTCTTGATCGAAAAAGAAGTACTCCAGCGCTCCAATACTTACACGGATTGATGATACTGATGTAAGACACAGTTAGAGACCAAAAGTAAGCCGCTGATCGACTTAATTCGATTTCAAAGGTCACAATCATTGAGCTGTCCAAATGCTCCGTGGGAAAGCTATTATATCAAAATCCAAATAGCTTTCGCAGGAAGTAACAGGTATTCACCTCAATAGAGTGAAATATTTGTTCAATATTAGCAATATTCCATTTTAACTTTGCACGATCACAAATCAATTATTCATAAAACTTTTCAGTCGCAGTTGTTTTCTAATACTGAATAATAAACAGAAAATTACTGAAAAAAGCTAGGAATACCATTGCTTTCTTTGGAGTTATTTAGCAGTAACTAACTTGACAATTAAGATTACAATCCATTTGTACACCAGCGAATATTTCAAACTCAGGTGTTATGAAGCATTATCCCTTCTATATATGGGCTCCTTGTATATTACTGAGAAAAGAGCAGAAACCTGGCTAACTTTTGCATGAAATCTACTGTTTTGATACTTACGTATGCATCAAAGAAGTATTGCCTGATCAAAACCCTTGAATAATAAGTTAATTTTATGTAAAATTAGTTCGTCATAGCTATTCTTATTTCAAGATGAAGGGTGCTCTATACACAAAAGGTTTTCCTATCATCGTGGCGTCATATGAATGTTGAAAAAGGCAATGTTTTTATGTTCGGTATAAAGTTGAATTAAAAGAAGTCTGAAAAACACTAAGTCCTGCGTGCTACAGTACATTAAAATGTCATTAAGAGGATTGGGTGGTACGTTAAGTCAACGATTTACTTTATATCATTTTAGTCATTTTAAGCCATATTTTCAGAGATTTTGTAAATTGAGATTAAGCTCACTGTCTTATGTTGAATTACACATTCATGAGTAATTAATAATTTAGAAAGCTTGTCATCAATAGTTCCTTGTCACACTATATCCATGTCAATGCAGAAATGATCATTTTAATATGTTAAGCATTATATAACAGAAGCAATCCAATCTCCGTTCCTGGAACACGCATCTGCTGGATGACATGCCAGGAAATATTATGTTTCACAAGTGAAAGGATGAGATAGAACTGTATATTATTATACCGTGATTATTGTTCCGTACTGAACTTTTAACTTTACATAATATCTATCTACAACTACAGGGTGATCAGGCGAACTGTTCAATAAAAACATGGTGTGCAGTATAATTTTACATTGTTATATAATTGTTAATTTTGTATAAATATTGCATCATATGATAGTACTTTAATTTTCAGACATTGTTTTTTGTTGTAATGGAAATAAATGATTTTTGATTTTTTTACACAATATTAACATAATGATTTAAGAATTTTGAATACAAAAGCAGATAATAGATATAAAACTGAAGGAGTAATGCAATGCTTAGTCACACCACTACATTAATTTTGTTATTAGATTGTCAAAACAGATCAAGAAATAGGGGCGATCCCTATATTCTTGTAAAAATGCTCTTTTTGTGATTTTTCAAATATCCTTCTCATTTTCAGAACATATAGGGTGTTCAGGAAATAAAGATAATAATGTCATAACTTTTTTTATTTGTTCATGGATTGCATTGAAAGTTTGAGAGATTATAGGTTTAACATATTTTAACTTCCTGAACACCCTGTACACGATTATTTCACATACAATGCGTAGATATTATTATTGTTAAAGCTATATCTTAAATAGATTTTGAGATAAGGTTACCAATGGTAACCTGTATTTAGGGTAGGCAGGTCAGTTAAATTATAACTGAATTGTCATTAGCTCACATGCTATTGCAATCACTCACTTGTCCGTCTGTCTGTCCGTCTGTCCGTCAGTCTGTCAACAATTGGCCAATTTTAAAACCTCTGTTAATAGGATTCCCTTTTCAAGTTATTTTTTTTCAACATCAATAAAGAAAAAAACCTATGACTCCTGGTTCAAAAGCTCGCCTATTTTCAAAATGGCCGCCATTTTTGTCTCGTGAAATTCACTTTTGGACCATTTGCTTTAAAACCTGTGTCGATAGGATTCCCGTTTTAAGTTATATTTGTTCAACATCAATACAGAAAACTCCCTTATGACTCCTGGTTCAAAAGCTCGCCTATTTTCAAAATGGTCGCCGTTTTCGTCTCGAAAACATTTTACCCTGTATCTTATTAACGATTAGTATCCAAGCCTAGTGCACCATGCCACAGTGTTCGGGAGAGACTGGCCTAGCCTGCTATAACAATCTTACCATGGGTTGTCCACCGAATTTTTGAGATAAATAAACTTGGAGACACTAACCCCCTCTATCGTCCGATTTCTCAGAGAATTCTGGTAAAATCACCAAGGTCAAAATCACTCCGCCGCCAGCTTAACTGTCACGTTGCTCATAAGTAGCATATAAGTTCCTAGAAGACGTTGCACATTTTCGTTCTTTACACATCGAGGCAACGTAAACATGAGACATCTATTGATGGTATAAAAAGAACGTTGTTGTAACGTGTCTGTAAAGTTCGTTAGTGTGGAAAACATAACAATCAGGAACGTTTGATTTTTTACTACATTGGTCCATATGTGACGTAACTCAAACGTTAAAATTCAACGTTGTCAAAACAGGATTTTAATATCAAAATATTTGTTGGTGGAAAAAAACATGACAAAAACTTTGTGTTCTCACTAAGTCGGTTCATTTCCGACGTATTGTTAACGTTAAAATTTAACGTTGTCGAAACGTTTTTTCGATTTGAAATAACCTCAAAACGTGACGTCAATAATGACGTTCATGGACCGTATTGATCTGACGTTATTTAAATATTCAGCAAAACGTCGATGGATGGTTGAATTTCAACATTGTGGAAATGGCTTCAAAATATTTGTGAGTTAAGGAAACGTTACAAAGACGTCAATATGTTCTCACTAAATCGGTTCATTACCGACGTTATTTTAATGATAAAAGTTAACGTTGTCAAAACGTTCTTACGATGTGAAATAACCTCAAAACGTGACGTCGAAAATAACGTACATGTATTGTCCAGATCCAACGTTACAAATAAAAAAAATTTCTAACCCTGCTAGAACGTTAAGTACCCGGTCACCCGGTTACCCGGTTACCCGGTCACCCGGTTTTTTACACAAACCCTGTCGATAGGATTCCCGTTTTAAGTTACTTTTGTTCAACATCAATTCAGAAAACTATCCTATGACTCCTGGCTCAAAAGCTTGCCTATTTTCAAAATGGTCGCCATTTTTGTCTTGCGAAATTCACGTGTGGCCCATTTCCTAACTTTACAAATAATTTCAGGTGTGCTGCATTGTAAAAGATCATGTCACTGTAGAGAGTAGTTGTATGAAATAATTTTGTTACAAAAATTACATCCATTTCTTTTATCTTCTACCATTTTAGCCATCATTAACTTTTGAGCAACACCATGTGAGCCCAGTACCCACGGTACTATTTTTTCATTTTGATTATTTTAAAGCATGCAGAAATCATACATTTTTTCATAAAACTATATGAATATATATCTAATAATTTAACTGACCAGCTTACCCTCAATACAGATTACCATGGCAATCTTATCTCAAAATTAATTCAAGATTTGGTCCACAATGACCTGAAGATGCATTTGATCTGTTTAAGATAGGTACCGAAGAATGATTAAAATAACAAATTTCTAATATCCATTTTATATCTAATAATTTAACTAACCTGCTTACCCTCAATACAGATTGCCATGGCAATCTTATCTCAAGATTAATTCAAGATGTAGCTATAATATTTTACCATAATATGTGTGATAACATAATCTCCATGTTCTGAAAAAATGATAGGATATATGAATAAAATCATAAAATGATAGCATTTTTATCAAAGTTTATGGATCGACCCTTAATTGTATTTCTTTTTCAGTTGTTGTCATATCTGTGCGCGGGGAAGTGTTTCGTGAGTTGATGCTGTATGCTTACGACATGGGCCTCATAAATGGAGACTACATATTCATATGTATAAACTACTACACGCAGAAGCGAGTCTACGGGGATTTCTCATGGCAACAGGTCTGTATTATTATAGAAATGCATTTCTCGATTAATTTGAGAACTAGAACTAAGGATACCAAACTTGTCTTTGCCCGTTAACAATGAGATAACAAAGCTAGATAAACTGCTTTGCCAAATAATTATATTTATAATAATGTATTTCCTTGTAATCAATATAACTCATTGTAAATTCGGTAATAAAAAACAGGCCAAGCCGAATAATTGATGGATCATGAGGTTTTGCCAACCAAAGACTTATATATTTCATAATTCTTGTTTGCGTTGGTCTCAACTTGGAACGCCTGCTTGCATGTTTTTATTAATAAAGTGTTGTTCATTCGTTGGCATCAGTCGCAAATCGCAATGATTATTCGTTTCGTTCAGTGCAGTTTGTCCTCGGTGCTACACAAAACGAAATACGTTTAAAGCACCCGGAATTGATACACTATGCCAAATAAATAGTTTCAATATTGTAGGGCAACCATCGGGATGCTGATCTTCGGGAAGCTCTAACTGCCGTCTTCTGGTTTAATTACTTTGAACCCCCGACTTCTGAATACAAATCATTTCAAAGAAGGGTCATCAAAAGATCGAAGACTGAATTTAATTTCACATATGCACCCGATGAACAAGTAAGCATTATGTTTTATACACGAATTTAATAATAGGGAGTTTAAGTAAAAGCAATATAACACGATTTAAGGCAATTTTAGCAAAATATTTCTCATATATAAATAATACTATCTTACCTTGATACCAGAATTTGTTCAACCCATATTACTGAAGGCTATCGGAGATTTCTCATATTAAAGTAGGTACATTGAAATTGGGTTTACATTGCCCAGTTCCGGATTGTACACTGAAGTTTATGACGTCAGCAAAGCATGAATTTAAACAGTTTCTTGCATTACGTTCCGAGCAATACAATCTTTCCTGTTAGGGCTAAACTCGGGGTAAATTCCATCTACCTTTGAAAATAGTTGTTCTCGTGTTTCGCACATAGTAATTGAATGTCTTATTAATTAAATGTTTCTGAAGTTATAGTTAATAGAACCAAATTAGCTCTAAATATTAATGACGCCATAACAGGACATTTGAGCCGACTGTCACCACCCTAGTTTTCACTTGCAAGAAAGAGGATAGCCTTTTCATTGGAACATCTCACAGGTTATAGCCTCGATCTGAATATCAGTCAGATGACCTTTGAATTTTTGAGTAGGAAATCCCAAACTGGGGCAATTGAGTTAACAGTGCAAATTCACATTCTGTTGATAACGCTGAACTGTGAAGCCCAAACACAAATAAAGTCAGTTAAAACGTTGTTTAAAGACTGAGAGCAGGTATAAAAGGCAGATGGAACAGCCCACAAAGCCAAATATGGCAGTTTAAAGGTCCAGTTCAAACAAAATGAGAAAATTTTCAAACTTTCTGCTATAACAAGATTGTTATGATGAGTTACAAGCTCTTTTTTGTTACAGTGGTTCATGAATCTATAATGACTATAAATTTCAAATCAAATTCTGAAAATGTTGTTTAGTTTTTGTAAAATAAGACAATTTCTTTTTGTAAATATGCTCATTAGCATAACTGACAGTTTAAATTTCAGCCAATGGGCATCTCTTATCCGTCTAGAAGTAAACAAACATAGCATAAGGCTGTATCTCACTTGTAGCAGACCATGTGTTTCTGTTTATGCTGGACATTTAAACTGACCACATTAGCACTGATTGGCTGAGCTGTGACAGCTTGATTAATAGCTTCACCCGGGTCCAAATCTCTGGGCCTTTAAGCAACATTGTGCTTGGGGATTCAGTATTTCTTATTCATATAAAGTTTGAACATTTCAATCGTTCCACATACTATCACTTTAAATACGCCCTATCCGTATGTTTCTAACGGATGAGTTTAGGTAATGGTAATTGCACTTTGTATAATTGTTTTTAAAAAAGATTAATGTAAACGCACACCGGAATAGCCTGACAATGGTAAGGTCAGATACCGTTGTCAAAAATGGCGGACATAACCGTCGCTTCAACTCATCAATCACTTGGTCCTCGTTCCACGGGACTTTATCGTCGCTAATCCTGGGCATGTGTTAAGCTCGTGTGATGATGTATTATATTAAATTCCAATTTCTATCAAATGAGGTCGTGAATTGTCACAATATGGCTTCTTCGATATCGTTAATATGTAATTCTATTATGATAATGAAACTGAATTTCTGGCACAGACTTTGTATTCCGCAACGTGTAAGTCATATTCTCGAGTGAATATGTCAGATTACGCAGGTGAATATGAGGTATTCACTATATCATATTTCAATGCGGAATATGCCATACTCACTTGCGGAATATGTCAGATACCGCAGGTGAGTATGCCATATTCACTTGTATCACAAATACCACGCAACCATAAATGTATGCCATCTACCGCGTAACACACACACATAAATTACATTTGTTGGAATAAAAAATGTTTGAAGGGATATAAAGTAATAATTCCAAATGTGAGTGATGTATGATTGTAACCGTTACACATATTACTGATAATCAAACTATAATAATGTGAGACAATACAACTATCAGCGTAAAACCCTTTATTCTAAACACACTTTTCAAAAAACGAACTTGGTGTTGCTTCAACATCAACTTACTAATCTCAACAATTAATGGGTTTATGGAATATAAAAAAATATTGTTTTGATAAGTGAGGTATCAATACCAGGGAGTGATCATTAAATCCGTAAAACGCTAGCGATTTTTGAACATATTCACTACGTTCATGATTACTAGTTGTGTTGGCAACAAAATCACTGGTCCCCACCTGGTTATAAAGATGTTACGTCTTTATAACAAAATGAATGGATTTCCGTCGGAGGACATTCTTATTTGCATCATTTACACCAAGAGGGGAGGTCGAGTTGTATCAAAATATTTTACTTGTATGTCAATAGTAACATCTGATTACTGAAAAGCGAATTAGTCACGAGTATACATCCAAGGGCTCCAATAATCGAGTGAGCATTCCTCACTTCAGCAACCAGGACGTTAATAGGCTATTACAAAACGCAACCAGTACGTTATGAAATTCACCAGATAACGTCCTGGTTGCCGAAGTGAGGAATCCTCACTCGATTAATAGAACTGCTGGAAATGTCTGGCATCTAGTTCTTCAGTAATCGGATGTTACTATTAATATACGGGTAAAATATTTGAAGACGATGGTGAAAACGATGGAAATTAAGAAATGCTTCTTTATACGTCTTTATAACCAGGTGGGGACCAGTGAAAATGATACAAATTAAATGGCGTCGATATAAGCACACACGTGGCAATCTTTAGTACAATGATACAAATAGTACATTCCCTTTGCATTCGTTCGAGCTTCGTCTTCGGTGGTTTATAACTATAGACTCTGTGCGCAGGGTAACGATTACAATATATCAATTATCGTAAACAAATCCGTAGACAGACATCTGATCCAAGGGTTTCACTCCAAAATACCTCTTAATACAAAATTTCCCTAAATATTGTTAAATTGACTAAAAAATATACTTTCGAGTGATTTGCTCCAGGCCTTGGCAATTGATTTAATATTGACCTAAAAGGGTACTTTCTGAGACAATTTTTGTATGTTTTTCCTCTCAGATTTGCCAGTTTCCATGGTTTATGCCCAAAGCCAGAACTGACCGTGCTGCACACAAATAGCCAAATTATTTAGAGTGAACCCCCGGGCATCTGATTGCATGTTGTAATTCATAATATTTACAACGAGATATCTGCGAAAATGGAAAATTGACCATTTATATTATTACAAGTCAAGGACGAGAAACTCTCTAATTAACTTCCCGTTAATCTATCTGTTCAGATGAGCATAATAATTAAAATAGTGTTGGGAGGAACAACAGATATATTACACAACTGTCAAGATATTACATTTGAACCCTTTACTGAATAATGTATGTATGATATATCCAATGGTGAAAATGATAAACAAACAAACAGGTGTAAGTATATACTTAGTATTGAAACTTACCTGTTAATAATTGTATAAATACATGTTATTATGTTTAAACCCGTCACGCATGTGGATCAGGAATTATATAATTAGAGATATTGAATCAGGGCGAAGTATAGCCATTCTATATTTTGCAACAGATGCACGTTTGATAAAGAAAGAAATACTAAAGAAAAACATAGACATTTGCGACTTCAAATAGTATCCTTAATAATAATCCAATACGGTAGAGATATGCAGGTTAAAGTTGCCGTCAATCTAAGTTTATATCCAAAGAACATGTGTAAGTTTCTATAGATTTATCATATAAAATATAACATATTTACAAAACATGGGGAGACGGCTATCTATCGATAAAAAGGTTGCGTGATTGTATACAAAAGAGCCGTTAATCTAAGTTTATCTTTGTAAAGGATGTTATCTATAAAATGTTCAATAGCTACCCTATCAAGCTGCAAACCTCTATGAAGCTGTATACCTCTATGCTGTCTCACTCAACAAGACATTGGCTGAAGGAGGTGATCCGGATGATGGAAGACTTGTGTCACAAAGGCTATGGGGCAAGTCCTTTCCTGGTAAGATATAACATTCACTAAATAAAAATGAATAATACACTGGTCCATGATCACTGATCCCATCATAATTCAAGTATGAATACAAAGCAGAGACATATGATTATGTCTCTGATTTAAGTAAAGTTTAATCAATCAATTTTCTTAATTCCTTACCTTGTCAAATTTTACTACTCAGAGGCGCAAAGCCTAGTCACGGTGTCCAACCCAAACGCTCTTACGTGCACGACGGAGCGTTTCATTCACGCGGAAACGCTGCGAAGCGAAATAAAATGGCGGCTAATGAAGATCCCACTATTACCGTAAGTATTGTTTCACTCGTTTCTCTTACATATCAAACGTTATGGTGACATATTTTGTACCATTCGATGAACAATACCCCGAGCAAAGATCTTATCTATTCACGTTCTGGTGGTAAACTGTTATTTGCTTGATCAAAGCTCCGTAGTGCAGATCGAACGAATCTGAAGTTGACGAATTGACCACAAATTACGAATTAAACTAGTATTTATATGAAAACCTCAATCTTTCTGTCAAAGTAGTAGATCACAAACTCGTATATTCTTATTTGCCTAAATTCAAGTCCAAATCCATCACTTTTTCTCGAGAAATCACTCATTTTTCACTCAATCACACAATTTTAGAAACGCTCTTACCTTTTTGTTTTGATATTATTTTCAGATTAGAGAACAGTTCGGAATCGAATCTATCTCTCACGTGTTGCACTTGTTAGGCAAATTGAAACTTCTGAACCTGGTGGTGCTACACGTGCAACAAGCTAACTTAAGCCTACATTAAATGATGTTATGCCTACATGTGTGCTAAAACATAAAACTATTGAGAAAAAAACAAAAATTTATATGTGAATTAATCCATCTTCTTTTGATGCCAAGGGATACAATAGATATTTTCTCTCTCTTCCTGAAAATGAAAGTCCAGCTAATTCCTAAACACATCTAGACTAGTACCGCGGCGTTTCCAGTTCACTGTGTTAAGCTTTGGAATTTGACCAAACTATACTCTGATGCTCTAATCTTGACTCAACTAATCAAATGTCTCGACAAAATGGGTTTTGGCCGGTAGAATGACAAATATGTAATAGTATATGAATTTTGATAACTATACTGCTTCGTACAGCTCTTCCTAATCGCATCAAACGTCAACAGCCAGCCAAATACAACATGAATATCACACCCATCAAATGGTATACTCGAAAAAAGGTAACATATACCTCTTATTCCCATTATTGGGAAAATTGTCAGATGGCTCATCATTCCCACCGCCATTTTTCCTACTCCAGAGCGTTGCTTTGTTTAGTTTCAGTAATGAAACGCTCCGTCGTTCATATAAGAGCGTTTGGGTTGGACACCGTGCCTGTGCTTTATGCACTGAATAGGAGGATAATATAATATACAATGTTGAGCAAAATTACGTCCTTATTTTTTTTATTTTGTTATAACTTTTGAAAAATCGTATGGGTTTCGATAAATTTTTCTCAGAGGATGCACGAATCACTTTTTCGCTTTTTCGCAATTGTTGCTGAAATGCAGTAAATGCATCTACAGGTAGGACGACACTAGGGGTTTTGCACAATCTGTACTTTTGATGTATTTTTGGTTATCATGGTAATGCTAGATTAAAGTTGTATCTTATTGAAAATCAAAGAGACTAAATGAATCTTTTTCAAAGAAGCGATATAAAATGATTGGAAATGATAATAAAAACGGGATATCACGATAGACGCAACAGTAATATGAAGACAACTAATCATAAAAGTGTATCATAAAACTACGTGTGTATTGGGAATGTGTCACTCAAAACGTATCAAATTATGTAGTTAACGTCACTGTAGTCGTTAATGTACGTTTGCATTCTAGGAATAGCTGGTGACATTTCTCTGAATTCCAATGGCGACAGAAACCAAGGCTACACAGTCAAAAAAATGAGAGACGTCGAATCAACTGAAATAGAGGTTTATATTTACATTCCCTTCCATAGGTGTATACAGGGTGTCAAAGAACAACGGCACCCCCTCTACAGCAAAAAGTCCTTAATGTTACATATCCTATCATACCTCATTTGAAAGTTAATTTGATTCTGGAGTTACTCATCAAATTTAATTTAATAAAACTTTATATTAAAAAAGCTAAATAATTTCAAAGTTTGCTACTTCAGTACTTTGTTTGACACTCTGTTACTTGTTAAGGTCAAATCTTCAGAAAGTGGAATATGAAAGAATTAGTTAGATTTCAACTGCACTGAACACATGGGTTCAGTTCTGAAAAACAGGGTATAGGAATTGATGGACAAAGAGCCTCTTGAAAAAAGATACAGTAAGGATGTATTTCTGAAGAATGTGAGGAAAGTGCTAAGAGGTTTATGTACTGCTATACCCTTATCTGAATTTTTATTGAAATCATATCTATATCCAGAAAAGCTGCAGTTCGAGCAGCGACTGGTGGTCATACCAACAACTAAGAATCCGCAGGTAACTCCAGAATTAAATTGTCTTTAAGATGAGATATGACACACCAGGACACATTAAGTACCTTTTGCTGTAGGGGGGGGATGCCGTTGTTTTTTGACACCCTGTATATACGTTCACATATTTTAAATGTTAGCTGTGTGTTGGAATTAATGCATCATCATCATTATACACCACATTTTACTGAATATTTTCACAAAAGATGTAAAATGCTATTCACTATTTTTTCATGAATAATCTCTATGTTTAAGGGCTGTCAAAACGTTAGATGTAACAGCCCCCTAAAGATATCCAAATGGGACGGAATCTTTAACCCAAGATAAGATAGTGGTATGATTATATTACTTTAAACGTTTCAGGTGGTTGGTCATTACTTCAGCACAAAGGGATTCTACGAGCCAGATACAACTGTGTCGATAAACTGGCCCGGGGGTCGGGATGAACCTCCAAATGATGGCCCTGTCTGTGGATGGGAAAACGAATTCTGCCCGAGTAAGCATCCGCTATTGATTTTAATTATAATATTCTAATCTTATTTTTTCAAACAAAGATTACGGCCATCACATGAGATCATTTTATAATTTTTAGACAAAACCCAGGACCTCATGACGGTGATGATTATAAGCGTTTTAGTTGTATTTCTCATTCTGGTCTTATTAGGAAGCGTTGGTGTGTTATTAATATATCGGTGAGTGTATATATTTAATAATAGGATAGTTTCTAAATAGCAGAAAAATCAATGAAATCTCGTGCTGCCATCTTTTGTTCAGCTTTTAACTTGGGCTAGAGCTCCATTCACTTACATGCTAAAATCTTGGAAAAGTGGCTTCATTTCATGATTTATCAAAGTGTGTTTGTTGAATCTGTATAAAACTTGAATGATATACCACATGCTGACCCTGTTTATGTACATGTTGTGATTAAACTGCAAATGTTGATTGACATACAAATAATCCACGGTTTTAAAGAATTTTAGCATTGCATCTATGGACATTTGGCCCAAGTTTTTTAAATTGTCATAGAAAATTATTCAAATTACATAACTGTGTAAATCAAAGCTATTTTAGGAGAAAGCATTTCACTGAATTCAAATATACCATTTAAAAGAAGGTAATGTAAGTCATTAGAGGTCTACTATGCAAGTATCTTAAAATCTCACGAAAAACGAGATTTAGCAAGATTTCAAAAGCTATATGGAAACTATACTATTGGTAATCTTTTTAATTTGTACTTCACCATGTATTGTTATGGTTTCAGTTTGAGCGAACGATTGTGAAAAGGTGTTGAACATTGTTACTTTGTGTTTCAGATCATAGTTTTTGATGTTCGGGATTTGTTAATTCTTAGAACTGGTCGTGCTCTGGGATGTTCTGTATTATGTTTTAGGGGCACTGCCACTTATCTACCTTGCATCTAACTCTTTTTATTTCTTCATGGATGTCATAAAACAATAACGAGATTATGCACGCCGTTTTAAAATCTAAACAATGCAATGATAGTTTAACCTAATTTGGTGCACGTATTAGACTCGTTCGCAATTTTTTCATTTTCTCTTAGAAAGGAAGCTGAATAATGTTACAAATCGAATGTGCTACACTTTCAGGAAAATGAAATGGAGTCGAGATATTGCTGAAATGAAATGGAAATGTAATTACGATGAGATAAAGTTACATTTGAAAGGTGCCGAAAGCTACTTATCACGTGTAAGTAAGATAATAAGCATCATACTGATCAACTAAGATCATATATTTGTATAAATCTTCCAATCAAGTCATGGCTAACACAGTCTGAACAGGTAAACTCCAATTAATTAGAGTAGCAAATCCCAACGAACAATATATCGTTTCTCAATAATTAACGTATACAGCTCTTATTTAGGTCCATTTTGTTCAAAACAAGATAATAAATATCCACGAAGAGTCTTGGTTTATTATGTTATAAAGCCTGCTGTTTGTGTTTTTTTCATGTAAACTATTTAGATTTTTAAACGATTTAGATATTGATAATTAGATTTAAATATTATAAAGCCATATTTGGAGAGATCTCAAAATTTAAGTAAATGAATGGTATCGATATGGAGAACACAAGTTTCTCTTAAACTAGTCATAAAAAAATCTAAAAATTTAACACATCGTCAATTTAATGGTCATCTTTTAAATGGTAACAATATAATTTGAAAAAAATATACTTTCATCTATATTGTTTTAGAAAACACATCAAACACTTGTTTTGTTCTTGGTATCCTGTTTCCAGAGTGAAATGAAACATCTTTCCGAACCTCATTGGAAAAAAACGACATAAACACAACATGTTTAGGTCTCTCAATATTGTAATTGTACAAAGGAAATTACAGAATGTTTTCAATGATTGGTTTAAGAGAAAAACATTGTTGAATTTAGTTCTCCATATCGATACCACTCCTTTTTGTCCCTTGGTAGCTGTTTTGGATTTTGCATGGCACAAATGAAAAAGCAGAACGTCATCTTCAAGCTACTCTATAAAATACATTTCCCTCGAGTTAAGGGGACTTTGGAGAGATATATGGGAGAACATACCCGTTTTCTTGATACCTATGTGGGTTTGGCCAAACTGTCGGAATATGTGTTAAACAGATATATCTTGTGTACATGCTATCAAAGTTCAGATACACACATTACTTTAATGTATATTTGAAAAATGTCAAAATTCCCGCCATTCAAAAGAATTGTGCGCAGTTATTCACCATTATACATCTTCCCACCAAACCAAATAGTATTACGTAAAAATCCATTCATTAGCATTTGAGTTTGAGGACGACAAACGACAGATGGGCGGATTTCGTTCATATGGACAATGCCTCGATCGTATATAAATTTGGTATATATTTTCATCATGTTGACAGACCGTAACAAGAAGACACACAACTAGAATGGACACTAATTTTACAAAATGCATAGGACAAATGAATTAATCACTTCTGTCAATATTTCCAGCTGAACCACGTTTAATTGGTTGTAAGGTAAATAATCGATTCTCTATGTAATGCATATTTTGCTTTGATTCTTGTTGGATATCGTATATCTTACTTATTTTCAGATGTCCCTTATGTCAAGTGAAACGTTTGGCAGAGAAGGCGGCGTAAGATTTACCGACACGGGTGTATTCCGAGTAAGAATAATCAGAGAAATATTTGACTCGAGGATCAAGCTATTTTCTTTCATATTTATAGTTAAGGAATAAAGACCGAGATTTTATGATTTATGGCGTGATATATGACCGAAAAATGTATTCTGTTCATTGTTAAAAGATTGAAATCGCGTAGCGATTGAGGTCTTTGGCAATGGCCAGAATAAAATTTGAGGTCATATATTTGACATAAATCATAAAATCGAGGTCTTTGTTACAATTCTAATATGATAAACACACAAGAAAAACAAATATTTGCATTTATGAATTTTAGTGGTCATACATACTCCAATATAAATCAATTGTTCTAGTTATTGTGACGTCACGTATCGTTTTATAATCAAGAATATAACTTATAATATAACCGTATACCAAAGCAAATGCATATGTAAATTCTCCAAAATATGTCGATTTGATAATAATTCTTAATTTATTTTTAAGTTATGTTATGTTAACATTTTTATCCACTATTGTGAGTGTTCGTGATTATTATATGAGGGTTATTAGTAAATGAGGTTTCAAAATAGTGTTTGAATTGATGTAACTAAAGCTATTTAGTTTAAATAGTTGTAGAAATGTCATAGGGTTTTGATCTAGACTACATTTGAATAACTATAATGTAATATTTAACAAACCATAATATCGCGTGTCTCAAATTTATTTCTTCCTCTTCTTATACCATAGGGAATGACAGTTGCAATTAAGCGACTGCCAAGTGAAAATGTCATACTGAACAAGAAATACATGTCAGAGATGAAACAGGTAATTATAATAACATACGCAGCAAAATGTACAAATATGTATGCGCAAGTGGCAACGAGAAAACAGCAAACATGATTACAGAACAGAGATTATAGATTAACAAAAATTTCATAATGATCACCAATATTACTGCCAAAAACTCATGTTTTCAATCGACATTTTGAATGCACGTTCACCGTGCCCACGTTAGTATTTATCATATATGAATCCATCATCATTTGACACGTTTTTATTACTATTTATCAAAATGAAATCATGAACCCATTATAAATTAATATTATATTAATATAGTTTATATGAGTACTACATATACACGATACATAAAACAGGAAGAATGCTTACTTGTAACTTTAGAGTAGTTTTAATAAAGGTGATGAAATGCAGCATTGACAACACACTTAAATTCATATTTGAATGAGTTTGTCATAAAGATGGATTGTTCAGTACTTGAAGTTACGTTTGGAACCAAAACACTTCGAACGAGCCACATATCAGATTACAAATCAAAAAATATTTTCTTATCAGTCAAAATTTGTCGATAATTTTCATCATTCCAACAGCAAAATGATTTTGTTTTGCAATATTTCGATCTATCATATGAATCTTTGTGTTGTTCTGATCATATGACGCGACGCACTTTCCCTCAAAAAATAACCTGTTAACGGTCAGCAAATTACGCCATCTATTCTTAAAATATTTGTACAAAAGAAGCTGATTTTTATGGATCATTTCCATTCTTTGTTTATCAATACGCATTGTCGGCTTTTTAAATGGTACATATTCTACCAACCCTCTTAGAAGCACCATACCTGTCAACTAGAATTAATTAAAATCGGAATATTTTTTATTTTAAAATCTGGAGAAATTGCGATAGTTTGAAAGAAAATCGGGAGGAATCAAAATATTATAAAGGAAATCGAGAGGAAGTACCTATACTATTTTAATTGCGATCGTATCGACTGTTTAGTCACACAGATCATACAGTTTTTGTAAAATCATCAAATACTGTTGTTTTTTCCAGCTGTATGATCTATCACATAAGAACATTGTAAAGATAATCGGGGCGTGCGTAGATGGAAAAGAAAAATGTATCCTCACGGAGTATTGCGCCAGGGGAAGTTTGCAGGTACTGGTTTGTAAATGTTTACTATACGTATGATAAACTGAACCCATAAATGGCAACATAATTAATACAGTTGTACCATATACTGATACATGATGCGGCCTATGTTAACACCAAAAAATGCATAATATAATTAACATGCCAAAAGGATGATACCGATACATCTTGGTTATCTAAAATGAAAAATATCATTTTACTTTAATTTTGCCCTAAATTTGTGGAAATCGAGGTTTTTCTTTTCTCTGAGGGAGTTAGCTTTGAATCTCGTTGACGTCTCATTAGTTTACAATGAGGGGATTGCCAAGTATTTGGTGTGTACACAGTGTGTGGGTTAACTAACACTGGTCTCCTAATTATACTTTATGGTTAAAAACAGGATTTATTGGTATGGACGAAGTATCTACCGAACAGCTAAAGTTTGGAAATAATTCGTCACATCACTCAGTGATACATATTATATATATCGGACTAAATTATGATATTAGAATTACTCTTTAGGGATTTCCAATACGATATGTTTTGCGAAATATATTTGAAAATATTACTTTCCGTATCACCATTCTATTGTTGTCTAATGTAGAATGTTTTTTTGTCCAGGATGTACTTTGGAATGATGATTTGAAACTAGACCTAACATTCAAATACTCACTAATGTTGGATGTTCTAGAGGTAAAAACCCATTTTATTTTCCATGCTACTAGGGCTACTAGTATATTCAGCATTTTTTGCAATTTTAGCTTCACCTAAAGATGAAAGGGCGATATATAATAATTATTACATATTGCGCAAGATATTTTTAAGATTAATATTTCTTGTTCTAATATCAACAGACATTTTCCACAAACGCTTTCACGTTTTGGTACATCAAATGAATTATGAAAGAAACCTACAACCTATGACATCAGCATTCTAGTTATTATATAATAACTGCTTTGAACTTCAACAGTTGGTATGATGTATTGAAAAGTTCTATTCTTGTTTTTGTCGAGTATTATTCTCAATTGAGGTTTTAAAAGGCTAATAACACGAACATACTATCCTGTTCCAGGGACTCAGATATTTACAACACAGCTTTCTTAAGTGGCATGGGAATTTAAAAAGCTCCAACTGCCTTGTTGATACTAGATTTGTCGTCAAATTATCTGATCATGGTTTGGCTGATTGGCGCAACATACGAGACGAAAAGAATGAAGGTAAAAAGCAGATCAACAAAAGCACCCAAACTTGCTTTTGATTTACTTTTTATTGAGACATGTCTCAGACACAAACAATTAATTACATATACATGGATGACCAAATTCTTTTGAACTTGATCTACTATTGAATTCGTTTAATTGTTCAACAGTACCGGACATTTCGATTGGTCAATTGCGCCATAAGATCTCCGTTGACATCTCTAGCTAGATAGTAAGACTATAGTAAAATGCTTTTTAGAGAAATGATGCCTTAAGATGCGATTAAGCAATTATTCATATACAAAAGTACTTTAAAGCTAACAAGCTCGCAATGTCCCTTCTCATAGACATTGACTTATTGTAGAAATATATTTGTCTTGACGGGGAGAGATCATTACCGTGACATCGGTATTCTCTCGACTATGCATTTCATATTTAAAGAACTGAAACGTCTAACTTTGCATAAAATATTTTGCGCTTTGTGTGAAAATGGCGAATGCATTTTGGAAAATGTGTGAAAAAATGATAATCCAATTGATCTTGATATTTATTATCCTATGAACATGTTTGGGAGAATATACACAGGCCTTACATATTTGTTTTATGGACAAAATACTCGCAAAAACGTTACAACTGTCTGAAATCGATTGCCATAACTTCTGTTGCTTTTTGAATTCACAAAATATGTCAAATATAAGATATAACCTCATCGTGTAACAGGCCTTACAAAATATTCCAAACATATGAGAACAAATTTCCTTATATTAATTTTATTCAGATCATTGTATATAGTATTTTTTCGGTTTAGACCTTCTCTATAAGAGTCCAGAAGAGCTTTTTGACGAAAGATCTGGTTTTATAAATAAGAAAGCATCTGATGTGTATAGCTTTGGAATACTAGCACAAGAGATTGTTAACAGAAGAGGAACATGGTATCTCAAAACCGAGATGGACGTTGAGGGTGAGTAATGTGTTGCTCTCAATTATAGATTTAGAATGATCCTATCTAAATATTTGTATATTCATGGTTACATTATAAACATATTGTGTTCCAGATATTCTAAAATTATTGAGGGACCCCATGATGTGTCACAAAATAAGACCAGATTTTGATGAAGATGTCTGCCCTCCTGCGCTAAAGGAAGTAATAGGAAACTGTTGGAGTCACATAGTTGAGAAGAGACCATCAGTGGACGAAATCAGTACTTGTATAAGGAAAATAGCATGTAATGGGTATGACATTGAAAGAAAATCATGTTTAGTATTCCCAGCCACGTGATAACATAAATTCGTTGAGTTCCTTTCTTGTATATTTGAATATTATTAATTATAGTAAATTACGCTAAAATTAATTTTATCAACATGAGGGGAGGACCATGGCTGTGTAGTGGATACCCGATATGGTTAACTATTCATTGATTGTCTATTCTTTTTTATTTAACATCGTGTTTCGATTATATAGTTATTGCCGTAACAGGTATCCAAATAAATATATATTGCAGAGCATACCTTTCATTGAAACATACCTTTTGTACTGCTTTATTAGAGGTAATATGGCCATATTTTGTAAACATGGTCAGTTATAAGTATTATTGTTACAGTAAGAAAGATCTCAACATTATGGACAACTTACTCAACCGAATGGAACAATACGCCAACAATCTCGAATCTCTGGTAGAGGAACGTACTGGGCAATACCTAGACGAAAAGAAACGAGTAGAGGACCTCCTATATCGGTTACTCCCCAGGTAGGCGTACGTGTATAGATACCTGTAATAGTAACAATATATGAAAAAATAAAGAATGACTATGATTGGGAGAAATATTTAATCCAATGCCAATGGTGTACCTAAAGTTCATCTTTTGTTATAGCTGCACTTGTGATGGAATATATTCATTCAAATGCTACTTTGTTTTTTTGCAGATCTGTTGCAAAGCAGCTACAGACAAAAGGATTTGTGGAACCAGAATCGTATGATTCGGTATCCATCTATTTCTCGGATATTGTGGGTTTCACATCCATATCGGCATCTAGCACTCCACTAGAGGTACATGTAATGGACATTCGTTGTCTTCCAAGACCTCTTTACTGAAATAAAGCATGGTTCTGATCTTTTACTAATATTTTGGACAGTAACAAAACATTATATAACCAGACACACATAACGAGACATAGCATTCTATATACGATTTAACACACCTGCATTATAAACAATGTCTTTTTACCAATCCAAGGTTCTGCGTTTATTGATGGCAAGCCTGTACATTTAATGTTTCATCATTTGTAGATTGTAAATTTTCTGAACGAACTGTACACAGTGTTTGATGCTATCATCGAGCATTTCGATGTATATAAGGTATGTCTTTGTGATAAGTTTTCTCAAACTTAGTTTTTTATTAGTTACATCAATGAGAGGGTATTCATTAAGGTTTGCAATACCAGCTATTAATTGTTGATTTGACATCTTTTTGGGAACTCTGTGCACTCATATTATTTATATATACCTGTATTTACATATTTTAATGAGGTTTGTCATAATAAAATATATCAATTATTTTCTCAGTTTTAAGTACTTTTATTTAGGTGGAGACTATTGGAGATGCGTACATGGTTGTATCTGGCTTGCCGAATCGTATCTCGCACAATGCTCAAGAGATTTGCCACATGGCTATTGCCCTACTCAACATTTCAAAGACATTTCAAATCAAACATAAACCTGATGAAAAGTTTAGAATAAGAATTGGAATACACACAGGTATATTTGTTCAATATCATTTATCATATGATATACCAAAATAAATACTATTTTAAATAGTATTCGGGAGAGGTAAGCAAAACAATAGCCTAATAATCTTGATCTACGTCATATTACGAACCTTGTGTTGGGCAGATAATATTTTCTTTTACTGGACATATGTTGATTTGTATAACTATCAGATACATTATGGTAATATGTAAAGTGAACCACTAAAACCGATGAATATTCAAGTTTAAGGGAATTTTGTAATACCCTGCAATGTTATTTCCAACTCGCATCTGAGTAATTGCTCCGGGGGTAATCAACTTTGATATGTTTAAACAACCACAGGGTGGGCCAAAAAACGCCACTTTAAAAAAAAAATGCTATAACTTTTTTAATTTTTGATACAAAATCATAATTTGCATACCAAATGAAACTTGGGGTTGTTATCTAGCCATGGATCATGAATTATACACTTTTACTTGAATAAAATATGTCACCAGCGTCTCACTTAAACATGTGGTGTGCCATGAGAAATAAGCATAATTTGCAAATGTTCCTGAACGGATACGGCCTGATGATCACCAAGCTATAAATAGCCCTGATGCAAACACCAGTGAGTATAGGGTATGGGAAGGTCTGCAGGAGATTGTATGAAGGCACCCAATCTAGAAAATTGCTGAACTAAAGCTGGCAATCAAGACAGGTTGAAAAAAACTTAGCTAACATTTCATTGATACTGCTATATCAGCAAGGCGAGTAAAACTAAATATAATATGATAAAATATATCATTAAATAGGGTGGCGGACCAATGGAACTCCTCTTTTATATCAAATATAATCCAAGTTGAAGGACTTGTTACACTATATTATTACTAAGAACCCCTGGCACTATTTAAATGCAAAATTTGGGGTATGTAGGTTGGAAAATAAAAAAGTTGTAGTGTCTTGAAAAAAGTGGCGTTTTTTGGCCCACCCTGTATACATAGTGTATGTGGTGAATACTCTTACTAAGTAAAAAGGGTTTGCTTGTATACGTATATATTCTTACAGTTATCCTGGATGTGTGTTTGTTTTTTCTACTTAGGTCATTGTGCCGTTGGCGTTGTCGGTTTGAAAATGCCAAGATACTGTCTGTTTGGGGACACCGTCAACACAGCGTCCAGGATGGAGTCCACTGGAGAAGGTAATTATACTCCTATCTTGGCAGTCATCGTGAGGGGCACTCATGTATATATTTTTTTTATTTATATTTATTTCATGATTTCTTTGAAAGATGGATCAATTTATTAAATATAGGTAGTGTACCACAAGCCAATACGCTTATGCGGCTATCACAACATATCGTTTCTTAATAAAAGATACCATATGAATCTCATAATGTATGTGTATACCTCGAACACGACGAACTTAACCCATCAAATGATACAAGGTGTCCATCAAGTTGATAACAGTTTGCTTTTTATTTTAGCCATGAAAATTCATATCAGCTCCGAAACAAAAGAACGCATCGAAGCTGATTCTCTGTTCATCACAGAACTTCGGAGCAAAGTACTCATAAAGGTGACAGGTCAAATGACCAGAGCTAAGAAACTGTTTTTATAGATTTCTTATTTAGACTAATTGCCTTGATTGACATGTTTGTACAATGGTGCTCTGAAAGTGTATTTAGAGTCATTATAACACAATGATAGGAAGAAAGTTAAAATATTCAATTTGCAATTATGTTAGAGCTTCCGTCCTAGGGATCAGCATAATGAGTTTGCTCCATTCAATGCCATAGAACTTTGTCAACGTTTTAAACTTTATGATTGATGCTATTTATGTAAAGTTTGGAAATGCCATTTTACGTCAAAATGTAGGAATACGAATAAAGACTGACTGTAGTCCTCTTTCAGCATAATTTTTATAAATAAAGATATTAATAAGGAAAATTAGATAAATTTAGTTGATGAAAACCCTTTTAATCTAGCTAGAATTTAGTTAGAGGTGGGTAAGGGGTGGAAAAGAGTGATGAATCTGCTATATCGAGTGGAACAATTAGCCTGATACTCTGTCATATAAAAATAAGTGATTTTGTACTATTCGTTGGACTTCCCCTTTGTTACTCGTCATTAAATATTCATATGTTTTTGCAGGGGAAGGGAATGATGAACACTTACTGGTTGAAACAAAGTGACACATACAAATCACACCGTTCCTTGAAAGAAAACAGCTCAATGGTAACGTTAGCATCTGCAGAACTCAAACGGTGTATCAATCTGACGAATACGATGGTGGCGCAAAATAAGGAAAAATAGTACCATCTTACATTTTGATGACACGATATTTTTGTATAAACCTAAGTACACCACTGAGGACAATACCGAAAAAACAGATATTTTTCGTTCAATATTCGCAATAATCTTTTGATTTATTCATGAGGATAAGTCCTATGCCCAGTAGAGCTTTAAGGCGCTAAGTTGGTAAATATATAAGCACAAGTGCCAAAGGGAAAGGACCAAAAGTTGTTATGGAACTTAACAAGAAAAAGCAAACTTTAAGTGCATACCATTCAAGAAAAACAAACCCCATATAGCCCAAAACCATGATCTAACGTGAAAAGAAATAATGTCTAATACCCCCTTTCCCCCCACCATTCAAGAACTAATATCACAATCCAAGACCAGAAGACCAAGGGACATTTCATTCATACTGAAGTCATTACAATACATGTTGAAGAAAAAATTAGAAATTGATAGCCAATTGATAGCCAATACTCATAACCTCAAAAATTGTTGTAGATACAAGTACTCATACAAGATAGAGCATTCAGTCTCAAATGATGTGGGACAGATAAAATCCAGTCTCCAAGTCCATAGGTGTTTCAAAGGGTCAACATCCATTCACAAAAGATATATCCGGTGTCATGATTCTGAGGTTCCCATGTCCAGAACCTCTATATCTCCCACTCCCGGACATATTTTCTCACTTCCGGAAAAATTGAAAACATTTTCTGAGATCATGTGCTATATTTAACCCTGTTATATATTGCCAGGTCCGCTATTTCAGAGGGAGAAAGTCAGTTGAAGATGAACTCAGGCAGGGGTGACCAAAGGCTGTAACTTCCCATAGTCAGATTGATACAATAAAAGAATTATTGGATGAATTCCTATCGAAATTGCAGACATGACTGATTCGAGTGTTGGTCGTGAAAACCATGTGATTCATTATGATTTAAAAATAACATTTAACATAGATGTGTGAGAAGTTGGTGCTCATGTAATTGACTGAATTGCAATATTCACATTTTAAGTCATTTTGAGACCTGATCCACCACTTACCACCGTTCATTTGAAGTCAAATGTGTTTGTGTAAAATTAGTTGAATGCGAAAGTTGTTGATTGCAATATTGTATGCATCCCATATTTCTGAACCAATGGGAGGACTTTTGGTTGTGGAAATGGAATTGTGATTTAACTAGAGATTGATCACTCGCTGCAAATTAATTTCCAATAGTTTACACAATAAATTAATGAAATAAAGAGTTGTAATGTAAATAAAGTAATAAAATTATTCTTGTTGACTTTACAAAATGTTACCTAATGAATAAACCTTGATGGTATGATAAATTACATGCACCATGTTTTGGTACAGAGCAGTATCTAAACCATGTTGTCCACCCAGCATTTAATATTCACTCACATTGAACATTGATCGTTTTACATCCGACCACGTGTTTGATTGATATCATAGCCTAATAAAGGTGGCACGTATGCATACTACATGTAGTTTGTAAAATGGAACATATAATTAGATGACATATTGATTTTGTGGCATTAGATCATATGCTTGATTTATCATTTAAATCATCTCGTGACAAAACAGTCAATTTATAAAAATGCTTTTAAACCGGTCGTCAGAGAAGTTACTTGAGGCTTTCATCATTTGGTTTACGTTGTAAAAATGATAAAAATACGGTTATGCCCTAAATTTGTGAGATTGTTATCTAAAGGCTAGAAAGGAATTAAAGTTAAACTGACATTTTCTGTCATATACATTTCATATTATATTTGATAATGGAACCCTTTGTGTAACGCATTGTACTCCTTCATTTACTATTCATTTATTGCATGACTTGATATCATTGACGTTAAATGTGTTTGCCTGGTTTCTGAACATTAAAGAGTTTTATCATTGAATTTTGTGACTTTTGTATTATTACATTTTATAGTAGAACCGTGAAAGGTCTACAAAACGAACAAAGCTTGCCATAAAATAAATAGGAAACAACTGTTTGAAAAAATCAGCTGCAACAAACATTAACTAATAAACTTTTCCGGGAATTAGTTATTGGTCAGATTCATTGTGTTATAGGTTTTTTCAAAAAAGTTTTTCATGTTTAGAAATAAAATGGCAGTATTTCTTATCCTGGCTCTAAACACATCAAAAAAAGTCATGGTAAATACCGGAAAGATCTAGACTTCTTTATATAAACGAGAGGATCAAAGGGAATTTCAATCAGACAATATGCTACTTTTTCTTTGGAAAACATTTTGATGCTTCAATGTCATGCATTTCTTAAAATTGGTTAAGAACATTTTCATTAGCAATTGAATGAACTATACAGTACGAACTTACCCATCAATAAAAATCATTTTGATAAAGTTGTTCCAATTGGAAAATAATAAATTAAGCAAAGGTGAAAGTTAAGCTTTGTATAAATGCTCTATGAAGCGAAATTTGAGGAACAAGGATCAGAGTGAGAGACTATACCTAGTAAGGACCAATGATCCGAGTGAAAGACTATACCTAGTAAGAACCAATTGTCAGAGTGAGAGACTATACCTAGTAAGGACCAATTGTCAGAGTGAGAGCCTATACCTAGTTAAGACCAATTGTCAGAGTGAGAGGCTATACCTAGTAAGGACCAATGACCAGAGTGAAAGACTATACCTAGTAAGGACCAATTGTCAGAGTGAGAGCCTATACCTAGTTAAGACCAATTGTCAGAGTTAGAGGCTATACATAGTAAGGACCAATGATCAGAGTGAAAGACTATACCTAGTAAGGACCAATTGTCAGAGTGAGAGCCTATACCTAGTAAGGACCAATTGTCAGAGTGAGAGCCTATACCTAGTTAAGACCAATTGTCAGAGTGAGAGGCTATACCTAGTAAGGACCAATGACCAGAGTGAAAGACTATACCTAGTAAGGACCAATTGTCAGAGTGAGAGCCTATACCTAGTTAAGACCAATTGTCAGAGTGAGAGGCTATACCTAGTAAGGACCAATGACCAGAGTGAAAGACTATACCTAGTAAGGACCAATTGTCAGAGTGAGAGGCTATACCTAGTAAGGACCAATGATCCGAGTGAAAGACTATACCTAGTAAGGACCAATTGTCAGAGTGAGAGCCTATACCTAGTTAAGACCAATTGTCAGAGTGAGAGGCTATACCTAGTAAGGACCAATGACCAGAGTGAAAGACTATACCTAGTAAGGACCAATTGTCAGAGTGAGAGACTATCCCTAGTAAGGACCAATTATCAGAGTGAGAGACTATATCTAGTGAACGACTATACCTAGTAAGGACCAATTATCAGAGTGAGAGCCTATACCTAGTTAAGACCAATTGTCAGAGTGAGAGGCTATACATAGTAAGGACCAATGATCAGAGTGGGAGACGATAACTAGTTAGGACCAATTGTCAGAGTGAGAGCCTATACCTAGTTAAGACCAATTGTCAGAGTGAGAGACTATACCTAGGAAGGACCAATGATCAGAGTGAAATACTATACCTAGCAAGGACCAATTGTCAGAGTGAAGGACTATACCTAGTAAAGACCAATTTTCAGAGTAAGAGGCTATACCTAGTAAGGACCAATGACTCAATTGGCAGAGTGAGAGACTATAACTAGTTAGGTCCAATTATCAGAGTCAGAGACTATATCTAGTGAAAGACTATACCAAGTAAGAACCAATTGTCAGAGTGAGAGACTCTACCTTGTAAGAACCAATTATCAGAGTGAGAGACTATATCTAGTGAAAGACTATACCAAGTAAGAACCAATTGTCAGAGTTAGAGACTCTACCTTGTAAGAACTAATTGGCAGAGTGAGAGACTATAACTAGTTAGGACCAATTATCAGAGTGAGAAACTATATCTAGTGAAAGACTATACCAAGTAAGAACCAAGTGTCAGAGTGAGAGACTCTACCTTGTAAGAACCAATTATCAGAGTGAGAGACTATATCTAGTGAAAGACTATACCAAGTAAGAACCAATTGTCAGAGTGAGAGACTCTACCTTGTAAAAACCAATTATCAGAGTGAGAGACTATATCTAGTGAACGACTATACCAAGTAAGAACCAATTGTCAGAGTGAGAGACTATAACCACAGGCTGGTATCGAAATATTTGTCCGCTGTGACGGAGCATGCTATTTTTCATAAAAACACTAAGAATACTTCACGATTTATTTTTTAACTAATATGTTTCGTTATACCATACAAAATTACTTACTCCATGCAATGGATATATCATTTGCGGGTAACTTTCACTTCTGTTTGAAGTCCAATTACGCTGGGAAGAAAAGCTATTGAAAATGGCGCCGGAGTATCATACTTCAAAATGTACCATTTCTTGTTTAACTTTCTAATGGCACGATATAGTGACACGATAATATTTACACATGGTTTCAGCATAACTATGAAGGTATAAATGAGATGTTGATGTATTTGGTCTTTTTAATTCTTTTATAAAGAATATTGTTTAATTTTTTTTGTCCGCTGTGACGGAGCAGTTGCAAATGTGAACTGTGAAAATGCTCCGTCATAGCGGACAAAAAATATTAATATTATTTTTTATGAAAAATTTTTAAAGACCCAATGCATTAATATCTCATTAATACATTCAGAGTTATGCTGAAAACATATGTTAATATTATCGTGTCACTATATCATGCCATTAAAAAGTTAAAAAAGAAATGGTACATTTTAGAGTTTGATACTCTGGCGCCGTTTTCAATAGATTTTACTCCTAGCGTTATTGGACTTCAAACAGAAGTGGAGGTTACATGCAAATAATATATCCATTGCATGGAGTAAGTAATTATCTTTGATATAACGAAACATATGAGTTAAAAAATAAATCGTGAAGCATTCTTAGTGTTTTTATGAAAAATAGCATGCTCCGTCACAGCGGACAAATCTTTCGATACCAGCCTGTGATAACTAGTTAGGACCAATTGTCAGAGTGAGGGACTAAGCCTTGTAACTTGTAACTGGTAAATGACCAATTGGAGCCCTCCATTCTAATTACTTTTCCCTTGAACTTATATGCTCTCCTCACTGGGTGCTTACCAGCGGAGATGCAATAGAAGTCACTGTCTAAGCGTATCATCATTGCGTCCCAGTTGTCAAATATATCTCTATGACAACATACCTCGTCCATGGAATTGAAGCTCTAAATTATCTACAATCAGAGAAAGTGAGGGAGATTAATTATATAAGTATACCAACAAAACAACAGAGTGATGCAATGCAATTTATTGGAATTTAACACAAGAATTTTTTGAAACATAAGGATTTTTTGGATTTCAACATAAATCTCATTTCGACAGTTAATAATGGTATCAACCTGGCTACTGAGTTGTGTTATGATCCCCTTCACAGCTATTTGGGGACGGGAGTTCAAGATTCTTATACTTCTCCCTCGGACTAACACACATTGGAAGTACTCATTTGGTACAGAGATGTCGGGAGTTGCAGGTAAGTCCTGTTATACAGAAAAATTTTATTACAGTAAGAATAAAGGAACACATTTTATTATTTAACTTATTCGAGGAGGTAGTGAGAGAGGCCCGGAGGTTTGTATTTCACTAAGCCCTATAGAATAAACGAAACTTTTAATCTATCCTCAGAACACAATATCCTTTTATCTTACCCCTCATTTTAATCTATCCTCAGAAAACAATATCCTTTTATCTTACCCCTCCCTCGTAAGTCATGGGTGTAGGTAAGATAAATATTCTGAGTACGATTTGTTTCTAAATTATTATATTCACGGATTCTGAAACTTTTAATCTATCCTCAGAACACAATATCCTTTTTTATCCCACGATTAATGTGTTATCTGTACAATAACAGCTATTGATATTTCTGATATTATTGAAATCCGTGTGATATTTTCCAGAAAATCGTTTATCAAACTCATATGCGTGTGATATCGTTTATCTCACGCATATCCGTGTGATATCACATTTGCATTTCGCGCCACAATATTGTTGGAAATAAGGTCAGATAATTTATTCTCTTTTGAGAAAATAAGTCCGTTAATTTATTCTCTTTAAGTTTCATTGGTGTATTGAATTACGATTGTGTATATAATTTGATAAGAAGGTTGCTAACTAACTATTAAAAATGGTATTTATGACGAACTATCAACATGTTATTTACTTTTAATTGTTAAAATAAAGTGTTTCAAATATTCAATTGATATTCTAATTTCTAGTTTATATTGTCTGCCAATGTCCTGGAAATTGGATCAGAACATCACAAGGTGATTGTAATTATGGGATAAACCCAATATCACATAATCACTCGTGTTGATATTTGCTATCAACTCGGCGATAAAAATGATATCACTCAAAATGATGTGATATTCCGTATATCTTACCCCTCTCTTCGTTAGCCGTCGGTGTGGGTAAGATAAATATTCTGAGTACGATTTGTTTCTAAATCATGCTTTATTTGCTATTTTCATGGTAAAAGCACAATTTGAAGAAAATATGCCTCCTCAATAAGCCTAGTTAGCAAAAGGGGATTGATGTTAAATGGATCGTAGTAATATCTACGTAGTAGTATTAGTAAGAGAACTTTAGGAAAAATAATTTTGTATGTTCATGTACTGTACATCCATTGTATTGTATTATGTATTGTATTGTATTGTATTGTATTGTATTGTATTAACGAATTGTATTGGTATTTAAGCGATATTATATAAAACTGGGATATTCTTAGGTTGAATTTCTTATCTGACATCTCCGCCAAAAATTGTATGTGGTTGTTTTATAAAGCCCTCTTTATATCATAAATTACCTTTATAGTCTTGCTTCATAAGTACTTGTGAGTTTCAACTATAAAGTCTTTCATTCATTATTTATCACAAAGATATATTATGTAATTTCAAACGAAAAGATATAACGATACACAATGAAAATAATGTTTTTTCGCTGATATTATATTTGATGTGAAAAACTCCTGAATAAAAGTGGAGAAGTTAAATCTTAGCTTTAGGTGACAATACTGAGATGAATAATGATCGGGTTACAATACAATATAATACAATTCAATACAATAGGATACAATAGGTAGGGTACAATATATTATATATAGGATAAAGCAAACTTGCGATTTCCTGCGTATATCTGTTAAAACAAACGTTCAGTTATTTAATTTAAATAAAAAATAACGTTCCAGAGAAAGGTTACAGTTTACAAGAATTCATGTTATAATTTTATTAAAAATACAAACATATATCTAAATACAATTAGTTAATCGCCACATTTAATCAACATCAGCAGTTATTTTATGTCCACATGGTGATTTGCACACAACTTCACCATTTCAATCCTTTCCACGCCTTCTTTGGCCTTGATTAATCTATTCGGAATGGTGTATCCATGGAGCATTTTTACTTTATATGGTACACTTTGACACACAACCCAGGATTATTTTTATCTTAAATAGAATATTTGTTTTTCGGTTTATATCCTATAGCTAAGGAGGACAATTGATCACTAAATTTGATATTTTCCTTTACGTTAATACGCCATTATAATTCTACTTTTGAAAAGTTGTAAATTGATCTCTTGTTGCATAATTTATTTTTGCAATAAACATTTGAAAATGTCTCATTTTTAAAAAAGATAATTCCAACATTTTGAAATATGTGTTGATAGTTCTAACCCATAGTTTTTGGTAGAGTCGAGTTGATAATTTTACTAACCTTAATTAGGACCTTAATTACTTGGAGGACAACATACTTAGATATTTTTATTTTAAATAATATTATATATTTCAGTATTTAATTTTTGGTTAACATGGGAATGACGATTTTAAAAAATTCATCAAATTTATTATCAATTTTCGACCTTTTTGTACATGAGGAAAAAATTGGGAAATTCGGAGGCAATGGAAGTTACAAGTTACATTACCAGTATATCTTTCAGAAAAATTGCAATTGAAAGAAAATATACAGTTATGTATCATATTACAGTTTCTCTTCCTTTAGGTTCCCTTTAGACTACTTGAGAGATTACTTGATATTTTTGAAAATCCCCATTTTTTCTTCATTCTAGCATTGGAAGCGATCGACTTTGCCAACGCTAACATTTTAACTGGCAACAATTCATTGACAGCAGACTTTGCTGACACAAGGTGCGACCAGATACAGGGACTAGGTAAGGTAGATTTATAATAATTATGCAATAATTGGATTTATGAAATTATAAACACCTTGTTCAGTGGAGTAGCACATATGAATGTAAAGAACAAATGAAGAATGATCTATCTCCTGGACAAAGATCACATGGCTGATATCAAGGTCACGAGGTAACTGGGACTTCAATGTTCCACTGAACTTAAAGTATGACTGCTGAAAACAACCTACACCCCCGGGCCTGCACCCCACCATTGAACCAAACAATAGAGGGTAAAGAACAGTAGATGATAATCGAACTAGAGTAATAAAATAAAATATCTAAAGGGCGACATGTATGTTCCACCTTATTTTAATAATAATCAATAGATAATTAGTCTAATTAAGCTAATTAAGGGATATTTCTAAGGAAGTAATGAAAGCCATCCCTTTAATTAGGCTAATCATATTATTATTTAATTGTCTAGTACTAACGAGGCTCCCTGACGGCAAACTGTTGGAATCACAATAAAATAAGTTACTTATGGCCAAAATGCCCTAATACTTCACTTCCGCGGAATAGAATTTTTTGCTTTAGGTGTCACTACGATAATTCATTGACAATATTGAAAAAATCACAAAATCAAAGTTCTGGGGTACATATCGCCATTTTTGAACGAATTAGCCCATACAATCACTATGTCTCGATTTTTAAATATCATTACGCAAACGTAGGAACTCATTTTTAGGTAAAATCCCCGCTTCACCGATGAAAATTAACGAATAAAGTAGTTCCAGTTTGCCGGACTACATTCTTGCGATTTTTTTCTAAGAATGGTACATTTAGAAAGTACAGTACTTGCCCTCAGCTTTACATACATACAGTACCTCAAATGGTATTAAAAAGTATAAAAGTATTAAGAAATACTGTCCTACTCGGATTAAAGCTAGGCAACGGTAGGTTACATATAGTTATAGTTTGGAAACAAATCAATTCCTTCACTCAGGAAACGAAGACAGTTTCTCAGAGGAACGGATACACTCCATGGGTTTCTGAAGCGGGAAACGAAGACAACACATTTAACATTGAAATCCAGTCTCAAATGCGAAATGCAGTCGGCAAAGTCAATAATGTTTTTCAATTTAAAACTGCCAACAATGTTTCTAACGTTGGTAGTCGATGTGTTGTATATTTGTATGTTTTAACAGGAGTAAAGAAAAAAAGTCTATAAGGTCATTTTAAGAAACGTTAAGAATTCACATTGGCCTCGTTGTCCTATATTCATGGTTACAGCAATTGATGTAGGAATTATTTTCAACTTATTGAAGTACCTCTAAATGACCCCTAATTTGATCTTTTCTAGGAATAGTAGTAGATAAGTTAACGTCGACTAACTACAGTGCCATAGTTGGTCCACCATGCTCCCCCGTTTGTAAGCATGTTGGTCGGTTGGCAGCTTACAAGAATATCCCTATGTTTAATGGTGTGTGTCAAGGCATCGAGATGCTCAACAAAAATGTGTTTTCGGTAAGTTCATAGTTTTATACCTTTGATTATTCAAAAGGCAGACGGTGACCCTTATCACATATTATGACATATTTTGATTGATATCGTTTGTAAATCAGCGTCGAGAGACACGAGAAAAGGTGTATCAAAAGATCCAATTTGCGACATTCTCCTGTCATTAGAGCACTCTATTAGGTTAATCCCTTTAGGGGGGAAATTAAACAATGGGGATCTGATTACTATTTATTTCCTATATAACCCTACACGGTGAGGTTAACCTGTAATACATCTATATCGATTTTGCCCTACTTCTGTCCAGGGTAATACAAAAATATATGCCTGTATAATTTAAATCCACATATTGCAAGGCAAGGTCATCATATTCAAAATGGTGAATTTGCAAAATATGAGGGAATGAAAGTTAACATAATAATGTGGAGAATGTACACAATTCGGAACGGCCATCTGGACCAGCTGCAGATCGAATGGTGGTCAAGGTAACAACCTGATAATTGAAAAAGGTTTCCTTAAAAATATCCTCTTCAATTGCTTTCATATCTTTAAGTGATATTGTATAAAACATTTTGCAATGTGACTCAATGCATTGCATGGCTGTTGTTTCCTAAACTTGCTCATCTCGTGCAAAGTTGAAATAACACCGTTTTGAAAATGATTCAGTCAACATTGCATTGGACACTAGGGCTTAGATACCTTTGTCAATGCTGACTCTTCTTAAATTACCGTGTACATTTAAAGACTCATATCTATGACTAGCGGAAAGAAATTGCATATTTCGTCAATTCCTTTTTTTTGAAGTAGCCTACCCTCTGTAAAGAAAAGAAGTTGCAAGGTCCTTTACCAATCATAACATTTTCAAATTTTTTGGAGGCACATGGCATACATATTGTGAATAACTGGTGGAAATTTTTAAAAATTAGATGCAATTTAAAAAAGTTTACAATTTTCTATAACCCAGTGTAATACATTTTCCTCTAAGCCTAGGATATCATTTTCTATATTTTCTATATTCTTCATACCATTGTAAAGCCTGTCCCAAACTGGTCATAACTGACAGGTTTGAAATAAACATTGACACACTGACAGAAAATTTGGGAAAAGCCAAAACCCGCCTAAAACATGATGTTTAGACAATTTACGCCTCAAATAGCAGTAAAATTAGGGATAGGATGTAACCATTTTGCTCAATAAACTCATTTATATATCACATCTGACATAAATTTTGGTATGCATAAGCTAAGTATAGGATAGCAAATTTATGGTTCATTAAGAAAGATTAAGGGTTAAAATTATCTTACAATTTCAAGTTTATTCTAATTTATGTTACCCCTACCCCTAATCCCCTAGTTCTGAACTGAGAAGAGACATCTGAATCTGAAGGATATTACCTCAAATTTTATCACAAATTGGTTGTAGTTAATCCCACTTACATTATACTACTGAAATTTTTCACAAAGTTTTATTGGATTGAAAATATTTTTTAAATGGTGTATTGCTCTAAACGCAACTAACAATTTAACTTCATGTTTCAGAAGATCCCCTTCGTGAGCACATTGCTGGCTATAGGATTTCTCAAAATAACATTAATTTATGCTAAAAAGTCACATTCGCGATTTAGGGAGTTGTTCTATTCTACCTTTCTAACTTCTTACCATATGTACGAGATTTGAAATTTTTAAACCCCTTGTTAAAACATCTCATCGTACAAATAAAATCAGAAAAAGATCCTCTTTTGAGTAAATTGGTTCAACATTTTGAAATGAGGTACCAATTCATCATTTTCAAAATGTTTGATTGATATTTTTATTATCCTTGAAAATTTACTTGAAAGATAACATATCGTGACCGTCTAAAATCACTTGCCATACTTAACCTGGGCACCTGGTCCTTCGCTGATATAGTGACAAGTTGGTCCCGAAAGCTACAAATAAAAAGAGTGGGTTAGTTTTGAGGAATTCTTAAGAGCATTACATATATCTAAACCAATGAACAACTTTGAAACTTATTCTAAAATATCATTTTCTACCAATAAAAACTGTTAAGACCCATAAGCTTCTTTTGCAAAGGTGATGGAGATTTTTTTAAATAAAATATCAGGGAAGTTTAGACTTTGGCTCTAAATCACACGAAAATGCTCAAAATGGTGAAAAACTGCATGATTTTTGTTTTTATTACAGACTCTGACACGATTTCTTGGAACCTTTGACTTAGTTGGGGGAGCAGTTGTCTCATTTCTGAAGACATACAAATGGAAACGAGTCAGTATTATTGCGCAAAAGCACGCAGATCCAATATGGACGCTGACACGAGACGCAGTGGGTGTTCTAGCGGAGAAAAATAACATTTCGGTGGCAGCCAAAGAAACCCTGGACCTTATTCCCAGAACAACACACCTGTCACAATTTCAGACTGCAGTCAACACCAGCAGAAGTGAGCAAAAATCACAAATTAGCAGTAGTGAATTAAAACGTCACTTAGTACAAAAAACGTGGTGATCTTCTTTTCTATGTCTCCTCTTACCTTTTATGGTAATCAAAAATAAATTGGTTCGTTTTCTCATTTATCCCAAAAACATTGAATGTGGCACTGGCGTTCTTAAATGATTTTAACCCTTTCCTGCCCAGAATTATTTCAGGAATTATTCGAAATAGCATGTTATAATAAGTACTTTCATCATAACTAAATCATGCAATATGCAGTATATCTAGGAATTATTGCAATAAAATGGACATATATTAATATTTTCGAATTAAAAATTAAAATCACTACAAAAAGAGATATATTAAAATCAAACAAATCAAAAACCAGTCAATAAACACAATAATAGATAATTATTTAGTTTTTCAGACAGCTCATGTCTTGACTGGTTCATATGACCTTGGTCACTTATAACGCTCAACGGATGTAATTATTTACTTAAAATGATGCGAACAATCAAGATCTGTTGAAGACATAGGAACACCACTGATTAATCACAATCTAAATCAGAGTGTTCATACTTAGGATTGATAATAGGCAATGAGGAATAGATAATTGTTTTACGTCTAGGAAAAAACAAACCGTACATGTTGTTTACAAGGAGTGAATGCGATTTCTGGCTATACTACTTTGGAGTGACCACAGGCACATATCTAACATCATATGCTCTGTATGAAACATAGATAATTCATGCATACAGAACATTTCAAAAGCAACCACAAAAAGAAATTGTATGATGGTTCTTTCAGATATCTCCTGAATTTTTATTTCGCTTATTTGAATGAGTTTTACTAAATTTCTGATATACGCTGACGTATGAAAACGTAAAACAAAATCTACTTCTCGTGCCCTAATCTCTAATTGGTACGTGTCTAGTAGAATATCTCATAAATGTATAACAACTTATCAAGACTTGTTAATGGAAGGCGATTATATAAAATGAATACACTTGAATTACTGATTACATAATTCAATCTTGATAATAGCATATTTTCTAAGGTCATGGTGCATGTTCGGAATTTTGCTGCAACCCTCAATTGAGTCACATGTTATTTTTGAATCATTCCTTCCCCACAATGTCTACATCTCTCACTTTTGCACAACGATTGCACTAATACCTAGAAAAGGATATCAAGAAGAATGTTTTGAGAAAATGTATAAAAACAAGAAAATTCAGTGAAAAAAATCAGAAAATTTTCAGAAAATTTTTTCACTGAATTTTCTCGTTTTTGTGCAAAACTAGAAGATGTATAGACAATGTGGGGAAGGAGTCATTCCGAAAATGCACTCTGATCTTAATGAGAATATATGACACATGTAACAGACACATATCACAAATACACAACATGTAATTATTATGTACAATTGAGTCAAACTCTACAATGGCTGAATGCAGTAATAGACAGTGGAGGAGAAAGCGAATCTTAGAAATTTCGCGAATTTGGAAATATCGGATTGAACTCGGCGGCACGTACATTTTATTACTAAGGGGGTCGATCATTCCTACTTCGGCCAACGAGCTTCCTTCTTACCTTCAAACATCCAGACAACTAAATCAGAATGAACATTTGACATTTTATGATATATTTTTCAGTTGTTGTCATATCTGTGCGCGGAGAAGTGTTTCGTGATCGTTGATGCTGTATGCTTACGACATGGGCCTCATAAATGGAGACTACATATTCATATGTATCAACTACTACACACAGAATCGAGTGTATGGTGATTTTACATGGCAACAGGTACATAAACGATATAAATGAGCTTAGGGTTACAATAAGCTTCCCGTATAAAACAATATGGCGGCTCCAGGCAAATAGATGATCCTGAAACTTCAAAATATCTATTCTTCTCATTTTTCTCAAAATGAAATACTATTTTAAAATAGAAACAGAATCTTATGAAAATTGAAAAAAAATTGAAAAAACAATTTTCATGACAATGACATGTTTTATCTCATATTTTCAAAATAGAAATATAATTTGCCTCTAGTATGTGTTTAACATCTGATTAGCAATCTAGTCGCATCTCTTTTGTATACATGTACAGTAATGAGAAATGACTTGTCATTGATGATACACGTCGCAAATGTATTCTTGAATATTATTCTGGTAATCACATTCTAGGGTAGTCCAAGAGATGAGGATCTCCTTAAAGCATTCAGTGCAGTATTCTGGCTGAATTATTTCGAGCCGCCGACAGCACAATACAAAGATTTCCAGGAACGTGTGATTAAAAGATCAAAAACGGAGTTTAATTTCACATACGAATCAGATGAAAACGTAAGTTCTATTAGGTGTGAACGATTTTATATAACAGTGACTGATCAACTAGATATTAGCCTTTGCAGGCCCGTAGACAGGATTTGCCAAGGGGGTTTACTTTTTAAAAAATTCCAGGGGGTTCACTTTTGACAACTTTGGCCAAAAAATGTCCCAAGAATGGTGAACAATTGCATAATTTTGAAAGAAATTCGGCCAGGCGGGGGGGGGGGGGGTGGTTTCTATTTGAGCTTCGAAATACTTTATAAGTATACCCAGACATTTCTCTTCCTTCTTAAAAGAGGTTATCATTTCCTTCACAATAAGATTGGACATCGGGAAATGTGTTGTCAAACTTAAAATATACATTTATAATATAAATAAAACATATATATTTTAGTATATTTAAAATAGTATATTTAAAATAGTATATTTAGTATAATTAAAATTTTAGTATATTTAAAATATATATTTAACATAGGATAATGTGTTGTCAAACTTAAAATATACCTCTCACCATCCTTACTTTTCATTTTGATCCATAGGTTCCCTACCAAGCTGCAAACCTTTACGAGGCTGTTTACCTTTATGCTGTCTCTCTCAACAATACATTGGAGGAGGGAGGGGATCCGGACGATGGAAGACTTGTATCACAACGGTTATGGGGAAAATCGTTCTCGGGTAAGACGAATATACAAGGGTCGTTCGAAAAGTCTTGCACGACAGCTTCTCAAGAGAAGAGATTTTATTATTTTTATGTGAAATTTCATACAGATATAGTATCACCCTTCTTACAAGCTTATATGAAATTTGTATTAAGGAAGCATGTTACATTAGGCACATTTGTAAAATTAATTCAACATGATAAAGGTAAAATTTGAAACCCTTTGCTTCAAATCACGACTCAAACTTCACATTAATACTTGTTTCTTACGCACATTAAATAGGAAGAGTAATATAACTGAACTGGACCAAAACGCAAAGTACATGTAAAACTTTATATTCAGTATTTGATTAGTCTGAGCACCCCATCAGAGTTATGATAAGCAAGGAAGAGTGTTGTATGTGCATGAGTACTACAATAAATACGACATAATGAATGTAATGAAATAGATCGATTTAACAAATAGACATTTTAAGATCTCAAATTAGCACATCAACAACAGTAAATCAAAAACGCTTTCAGAGGTAATTCATTAATCTAAAACGTTTCCCCGTGAGCAGCATGTGCAAGTAATATACCATATGTCTCAGGTATGATAGGCTTGATAAGATACCCAGTCTGTATATTACACAAGACAAAATCGTATAGAATAACTTGCGATAAGCTAGTTATTAAGCTTGTTATTATGGTCTTACTAGTGGTTATTATTGAGTAATGGTACAGGTATTCGATATGGTATTGCAGCTTACACTTAAGTAATGGTACACGTATCCTTGGATTTTAGGCCCGAATACCGAGGTTTATTTTTTTAATTATCGTGTATTATTGTTTTGTGTTAATATTAGTTAACCATCTAACTATTGGCATGATATGATAACCTTGTTATATTAATATAGCGCATAGGCGTAGCCAGGGGGATGTGATGTGTGCGATCGCACCCCCCCCCCTCCATAACCAATGAAAATAGAACCATTAGATAGAAGAAAAAAGTCTTAAAATGCTTTTTATTTGAAGCTTCTAGCTCGATTTTGAACGAAGTTGCACCAATTTTTGTAAAATTCAAAACAAATCTTCAAAAATATTTTTTTATGCCACGATCGCACCCCCCCCCCCTCCCCCGACTGAAAGCTGGCTACGCCACTGTAACGTGTAATCAATACGCTACATTTTGTATGTTCAATTTGTATACTAAAAACTGTTATTAATCCACAAATTTAGATGAAGACAAGATAAAAATTCGAATCAAGAATGAAAAGGTGTCTAAGTATATAAATCTTAAGGGTAATGCATATTTGAATTAAACAGAGGCGGGTTAATTTATATACTCTTTTAAGAAGTGAAGTCAAACGAATGCAAAGGGTAGTTTTATGAAAATATCACGGAAGATGTATTCTAGATATCAGTAGTATTCTCAGAAATTTATTATCCGAAACGGATAACATCTGGCCACTCAGACAAACAATCGCTGACATAGGCGAAGCTTGTTTATTTAACAGTTAGATTTGTTGACTTACCGATCCGTATTTCAATCTCCGGGAAGACGTTCTTTTCACTTTGTATTTGCGTGCAGTGTAATATAAGTTGATACTTTTGTTCAAAAATGTACTTTTAATGGCCATTTTATGCCTTTTATTTTCAAATTATGTTTTGTTTTGATGTCAATGTGAAAAGTCAAGAAACGTCAACCCCGACTTTTAATCAAAAAATGTTGGTTAATCACTTATGGCAAATCACAAGGTTGATGATGTCAACGGACCATGATCGTGGAAGGCTATCAATATCAGGTGTATATCGCATAGAAAATAAATATAGCTAATTTTTCGCACTGATGTGATGATGACTATTCTGGCGAATCGGGTAGATATTTCTCAGTTTTATTCCGATAAAGAACTATTCATTTCTATCAATTTTACAAACGGGGTCCTTTGAATGCACATTAAAACTATAAAAGTATTTATTGGGCGTACATACTCGTTCTGTCATGTTACTTACATTTCATTTGCAAGTTGTCTACATATTAATCCGGCGTTTTGTTTAATCAAATTTCCCGCCCCTTGAGGTTTCCGACTGTAAAACTTAATATTTAATACTAACCAATGCATCAGTTAATATTTTCAGAATACAAAGGATGATTCTCGGTTTGGAGAACGAAGTTCATCACTCTAATTGAGCGCTATCCCTGCTTCGGACAAATTTGATTTTTTTACATAATATAGATTTGAATGTCTTCTTTTGAATAGACATAAATTAATTTGGGTAATATTTCTAGATTTTCCATAAAAAATTACTAGTGAACCACCCAACGTCGCTTCTATGATTCGTACCACTTTTTTAACTTGATGTATTGCATATTTTCGTGGGTCGATTTAAAAAAAAATACAAACGACGTATACATGAATATGTCATAAGCATATCGTGAGATAATTGTTAGATTAGGTTTGCTATAAGTGACTTTAAAACAAAAAAATAAAAAACATTAGTTCACGTGTTAAAGTTCCATTGACCGTGACATCAAGGAAAATTGAGCTTTTTGTCATCAGACATCTTTATAGATGGAACTAGCTATGTACTACATTTTCAAATACACTCACATAGAACATATCTAAGATGTTCTTTTTATCGATGAAAAGATTCTTACATTCGGAAGTTACATTAAAATATCAATTGCAATAGCCGCCTGTTTTTAACATCCCTTTGTCACTCATCCCTTAATTATCTCTGTGTATCCATTCTGATACTCATAGCATCTTTCTGTTTCACCTGAAACATCTCAGGGCTGAGAAGAAATGAGATGTCATGGTTTATCATGATGCTGTGTATCTTATACTTGTGTGTGTTCGATTTTGATAGCACCCGAGTGCAACCTAAGGAGCACATACAATACATTTTGTGTATGCCCAGTCTGGTCTTATATCTGCCTGCTCCGACGAATTTTGGTGGCGATTTTTTGATTTTTGTAATAGCCTACTACATAGCATCTCTTGTGCGCGTAAATCCCAATGTTTTGAAATAGAAAATAGAGACTCAATTCTATATCGATAGTTTCACAGATGAGGGTAGCGAATGGGCGCAGCTTTGACGATCAACGAATGATATAACGATATCACGGATTTCACCGAATGTTATATTCATCCCTAAATAGCTTATTTATTTAGTCTTAAGATCCTTGTGATGTTTCTATTCATTGCAGTGACTCTGAAATTGCTGTGCCAGATATTACGTCACAGCGACTCATTTTCCAACATTTAAGCATTTAACTAAATAATTGAAATATAATTATTAAAGAATGAGGACCTTGTGTTTCACTCTGGACGAGGGGGGCCATGTCTCGGCTAGTTGTGCATTAACGTTTGATACTCTTTTGTGGATAAAAATAATGAATATATGTTAACGTAGCACTAAGCAGATACTTTTAAAGAATATAGTTACACTTAAAGAATAGGTCCAACGAATATATATTGAATATAGGACTCGTTTGATGAACGATCGTTGTAATAATTCTAATAAACCTATAGAAATGAATCAACGATTAAAGTGCTTAATTCGGTAATTTCTGTTTATTTTTTCTCACTGCAGTAGATTAAACAGATATTGGTAAGTAAAAATAGTATTCCAACAGACTCTTAACTCATTCTATTTGTTCATTAGTGGCAAAATAAGATTTCCCGGGAAAAAACATGACGTCACGAACAGAACCGGTTATGGATTTTTATCGGCAATGCGTTATGCAACTCGAATGTAAATTCAAAAGTGTTCATGTTATACCGTGTTCTGATTGGCCAGAAAGGAGTAACACTTACCGAAATCACCTCATGGTTCAATGCCTTTTGGTTACAAAATTTTAGACGCCTTATGTTAGGTAATACTATCAACTGAGCGTGTTTATTTTCTATATTGTGTTCTGACTGGCCAGAAAGTAATTCTGCATGACTAGCTATGTGAAAACGTACCGCTGGGTCGGAGGCTCTAATTTAGGTATTATTTTTTTGGGTTTATCGGAGGAAAAACGTGACTCCAAAGTAGTCATCTCTGAATCAATTCCTCACTTCAATGAATGCAGTTGCAATCAATTACACTAACACTTTATAAGCACGTTCGGAGATTATGAACTCCAACAACATATTCTAAACCCGTCCTGTTCGTGATGTCATGATAGAGATTTGAAATTGTGTTCCCGATTTTGAACATTAAATTTCACATTTATAAAAATGTTTACAAGAACGGTTACTGGTTCGACATGTTAGTGGTATTTAGAACGTGTATAAACTGTATTTTGACCCCATGAGCATCGAACAGACACTTTAAGTTAATTGAAAGACTTCGTGTTCAAGTTAGCTGAATTTCGTGTAACTTAACTCTGTTATGTTTCTAGATTTTACTTGTGGAGAACAGAAATCATAATCACAATCGTATTTAAGGCAAATAGGCCATGCATATGCTTTGAGTTACACGGTGAATGATCAAATTAACATATTTTGGATGTTGAATTTCATTTCAAGTACATTCGAATTTTACGCATTATCCAATAAAATTAATGTATACTGTCTACGCTGAGACTAACATATATATGTTATTTAATGTATTTAATATACAGGATATATCTGAGAAGGTTATACATGTATAATATATCTACAAGAGGAACAGTGGGGACCGAGGGTTGATATATTACCTTTACCTGTCGAAAATCGGGCATTTAATAACTGATTTATTTGTAAATTATGAGGATTAGATACACATTGAATGTAAGTCATTGAGGTGTTAGAAAAACAAACTTACAAACAAACCACCGAGTTTAGACATATTATTACATGTATTGTCCTATTATCAAATCATATATTGTGTTCTATTTCTAAAACGTTAACAGTTTATGGTGTACAATAAAACTATTACTATGAACCACTTTGATACATTTAGACATAAAATATCAAGTTACTCATCAGCCAACAAATCACAAAATATCGAAAAATGAAAAATACGAGGTACTTGTTCACTCAAATCTTGCAGTCAATTGGTAATG